AATGTGAAATCATTTGCCGCAGATATCTAGAACGTCATTTTTGATTCATGAAGACGTAGAAGACGTTTTTTGTCTAAGCTTGTGGAAAACTGGGCCGGCTTAAATCGCTCAGCTAGTGCTGGTACAAAAAATTATTGGAAGCAAAGCGAAAATTTGTGAGTTCTATCATAAATTATCGACATCAACATGCCAATTTTTTTTCGAATCGTGTTGAGAGAACCGAAGCAGTACCAAAGTGATTTGTTTCGTTCCGGGAAGCACTGAACTCGCTTGTCTGATACTGTTGAAATTATTGCGTTCCTACTGATCAAAAAATCTCACTCTCGAAATACCTTTCTTCCTTCAAGTATAATTAATCCAACAAATGGAATATGTGGTAGCCAATTCCTTGAAAAAAACGGCATGCCTAGAGACTGAAAAAGAAATTTGGATGAAAAATAAAGTTTTAAGATCATAAATTACAATGGATTCTCTGATAAACCAGTGAAATTTGCTAATAATTTTTGATTGAAGAATTGATTTTGTTCAAATAGTTGCTTTCAGACTTATTTTTGCACCGTTAAAGTTGATAACAATCAAAATTTTATTAATCAAAATTTGAACAGAAAAAGTTTTTTTCAAATGTCGATAGAACTTTAAAAAATTATCCCGGCGATATTTTTGTTGTCGGGGAAAAGGTATTGAACGCTCGATCAAGGCTAACCTTAATTAACACAAAGCAATAACAAAAAATCTATCTTATTTCAAATAACCTTTATGTACTGAATAATAAAACCAAGAGGTTCAAACACTGATGTGCAAATGGTGCGAAAAAACGTCAATGAATCATATTGAAGTCCGAAAAAAATTCCAGTTTTCAAATTCTACAGCTGCTGCTGAAGCTCTAGAAACTCCTATACTTTTTCTCTTTAATTTTTATTTTTTATATTCAATGATTGTTTTTTGACATGTTCCAATAATGATTTTGATAGGCTCATCGGATCATCTCGTGAGTAGACTCTTTTTGGACTGCCAGTCTCCAATTTGTGAGAGCTGAGTTTTTTCTCCTTTTAGTGCAATTTGATCAGATATTAAATGAGAGTTTCAACACAAATGCTTCGTTCGTCAAAAAAAATTTCTTATGACCACCGCACAATTAAAAAACCAATAAACGACTCGGGAGATGAAAAAAAAAACTTAGACTTAGAACGTTTAAATCGTTCAAAAAAAACGAAATAATTAGCTTGTTTAAGTTAAACAACCTAAATTTTTAAAGAAAAAAAATGAGTTAGACAATCTAAGTCTACATTTTTCTAAACTTATTTCTCTTGTGGTTTGTTGGTTTCATTGAAAAATATGCGTAGGACCTTATCATATTTCTTTGCCGACCAACCTTCACCGCTCGCTGCCCACTATCTACAAAGATGCTTTAAATGCGCAAAATGTTGAAGAAAATCCTGACTCCAAAATATCTGGATAAATCACTGTTTTAACTTTTTGTATAGTTGATCATGCGGAACATTTCAAAACCAGTTCTGTGAGAAGGCTACTGCGGCTTTTGGTAACGAGAAATGTTATACAACTTATTTACAACTATTCTGCCACATGCTTGATCAAATTATGATTTTTGGACCGCTTTTGTGACATTGGCGAATTCTTATGAAAGTGCTCAATTTTTAAAGCAAATTCGCCAATGTGAGATCATTTTTCGCCGCTATCTAGAACCCCAATTTTTTTATTAATGAAGACGTAGAAGACAACGTGTTTTGGTTAAACTGGTGGAAAACTGGGCCGGCTTAAATCTCTCAGCTACTGCTAGTACAAAAAATTATAGAAATACAAACTTGGAAGCAAAGCGAAAATTTGCGAGTTCTATCATAAAGTCTCGACATCAACATGCCAACTTTTTTCGAATCGTGCTGAGAGAACCGAAGAAAAACCGAAGTGATTTGTTTCGTTCCGAAACAATTCTCAGGTTCTGTTCGGCCACGATCAGTAATTCATTACTTTTCACGGAAGCACTGAACTCTTCGCTTGCCTGATACTGTTGAAATTATTGCGTTCCTACTGATCGGAAAATCTCCTCGAAATACTTTTCTTCCTTCAATTAAGATCAATCCAACAAATGGAATATGTGGTGGCAAATTCCTTGAAAAAAAAGGCATGTCTCGAGACTGAAAAAGAATTTTGACTGAAAAAGAAAGTTTTTAGATCATAAATTACAATTAATTTTATGTTAAACCAGTGAAATTAACTAATAATTTTACTTATTTACTAAATTTGATTGAAGAAATGATTTTGTTCAAATAGTTGCTTTCAGACTTATTCTTGCACAGTTAAAGTTGATGATAACAATCAAAATTTTATTTAATCAAGTTTTGAACAGGAATTTTTTTTGCAAATGTCGATAGAATTTTAAAAAAAACTATCCCGGCGATGTTTTTGTTGTCGAGGAAAAAGTTTTGAACGCTCGAACAAGGCTAACCTTAATTAACACAAGCAATAATAAAAAATCTTTCTTATTTCAAATAACCTTCAAGTTCTGAAAAATAAAACCAAGAGGTTCAAATACTGATGTGCAAATGGCGCGCAAAAAAGTCAATGAATCATATTGAAGTCCGAAAACAAGTTTCAGTTTCAAATTTTACAGCTGCTGCTGAAGCTCTAAAAACTCCTATACTTTTTTTGATTTTTATTTTTCATATTCAATTATTGTTTATTGACATGTTCCAACAATGATTTTAATAGTCTCATCGGATCAACTCGTGAGCAGACTCTTTTTGCACTACCAGCCTCCAATTTGTAAGAGCTGAGTTTTTTCTCTTTTTAGTGCAATTCGATCAGATATAAAATGTGAGTTCTTTGATTTTCAACACAAATGCTTTTGTTCGTCAAAAAAAATTTCTTATGACCACCGCACAATTAAAAAAACCAATAAACGACTCGGGAGATGAAACAAAAAAAAACGTATTATTAGAACGTTAGAATCGTTTTAAAAAAGCAAATAATCAGCTTATTTATAATTAAACAACCTAAACTTTTAAAGAAAAAAAATCAGTCAGACGCTCTAAGTCTACATTTTTCTTAACTTATTTCTCTTGTCGTTTGTTGGTTTTTTTTTGAAAATTATACGTAGGACATAATAATAATTCTTTGCCGACCAACCTTCCACCCTTGCTGCCCACTATCTACAATGATGCTTTAAATGCGCAAAATGTTGAAGTAAATCCTGACTGCAAAATATCTGGATAAACCAGTGGTTTAACTTTTTTTGTTTGATTGAACAATTATTTCGAGACAGATATGATGCTTTCGGCGGAAGGCAAACGGGGCAACTCGCAGTTTGGAGCCAAAGGGCAAAGAACTTTAGCTAAAATTTGATAATAGTGGGAAATAAGAATGGACCTCAACAGTCTTGGGATGGATGCTATTGAGTAAAAATAGGAGGTTCTTGAATTCTCCGCGTAAAAACAGTAAGTGCGCATCTGCGCGTTTTCCCCCGATGGATCAACAACATCTTAACGATCACCAAATTCGGATGGGGCGCAATCATGTAACCGAGATTAATAAGCGACTCCGAAGTATGTTCCGTTATGCCATCGTTTCTGCCCAATTTTTCAAACTTGTGGACTTTGGAACAAAAAATAGGAGGCAGCCGCGGTCTGGTTGCTTTAATCCATAAGGCTGTCTGCACGGGTCCATGAAAATAGTTTGGGATTGCCCTAAATTTGCTTAATATTCTGACTTAAAATATTCTAAATATTTGTTTTTTTTTCTAATTGATGGCTGGCAGATCGAATTGTTTTATTACTAGGGTGGATACATATGAGCAGCAAAAGTTAAGTAAAAAACTTTCAGCGTCTGAAGTTAACATGTTGAGTCAGCCGTGTCAATGAAAGTGACCGTTTTGGCCACGTCATTTTTGTAACGACACCTCAAGACACAAATAAGAAACATAGCACACTGTCTTTCATTTTTTTAAAAACCTTTTGAACAATGATGGGGAAAAAGGCTAAGTTTTAAGAGGCTGCTAGCTCAACAACGAGGCTGAGTTAAGGCAAACAATAGAATTTCTCGCTGCAGCAGTACGCTGAAGAAGCACGTGCGCTCTATTCTTGGCTCTCTGCAATTATGTATATCTGACCTTGTTAATTTTCTGTTGATTTATTTGTAAGTAAATACTTTTGAAAATCATTTTTTTTCATGATAAAATTGTTGCTCATGTGAAATCTTGAAACAAACTGATTCAATTGTTTTTGGCTCCTGAAATTTTCGGCTGCAACATTTCTGGCTAAAACAAATTCAACTTCTTTTGTTTTCGTTGATGAAATTTCAAGATTAATAGACATTGGTGCTGATCTCCAGGAGGTGCGACATCTGTCCCCTGGAGCTCTTCAACTTCAGGTACGTAGGTTCCACCCCACCCCCTAGGCCTACTTAGTTTCCTTTTTGAGTAGCTTGCTCGCTCCGATAGGTTGTTTTGCTCAATTTAATTTTAGAATTGAAGTTGCTCGTCCGTTGCGCCTATGGAGTTCCTGTTTAGCAGAGGGGGTTGTCACCCTTTGCAGTTACTGGAGCACAGTTTAAATTGTGTTGTTTAGCATAATGATTTCTACTTTTTATGAAGTTTCGCTAAGCAGTTTAGGCCACTGGCGAAGTTGGAGTCGTCATTGGTGTTTGGCTGCTGGTTTTTGCCCATAAATTGATTTACAATGACAATTTTCTAAGATTTAATTGCATATTTTAGAGCGTAAAATCTGATTCATGTGGATCCAAGTTAGCAAAAACATCGATATAAATCGATTTAAAAGGATATTTTAAGCAGTTATATCGATCTGCACAGGGTTCTTTCATTATAGTTTTGAATGGATTTAAATGGACTTTAGTAAGATTCGGATGGGCTTAAGTGAGATTTGGATATTTTAGTAAGTCGGAAAATCCATCCATATCGATTTAAATTGATTTTTAAGACACGTGAATCGATCCAACATTTTCAAGAAAGATCTATTTAAATCCATTTAAAATTCATTTAGGTTCGTAAAATGTATATTGTTAATCGATTTGGGTTGATTTAAATCAATTCAAAATCCATCCGAAACCTGTTTTGTCAGTGCGGGTAAAGAAACTCATTGCAGACTTTTTGGAAGGATATTAAATAAGGTAAAAAGATTAATTCAAGTTCAAGTTTGTGGTGAGAAGTCTATGGCGTTTTTGTGTAGTTGGAAGGATGGACAAACCCACACTCCACAGCTGCATTGAGCCCCACTCCAATTGAAGTTGCCCAGCTTAGAACGACACTTTGGACAGCATAGTTTACCTGAAAACATAATCAGTCTCTTTTTGATAGAAGTAATCCGAATTTGGACCATTTATCCAAAATGCCAAGGACCAGCATACGAGCTGTTCGGGTCACGCAGAATCGCTGTTGCGCCCCTGCTTAAGTTTCAACTTTTTGGGCTCTTTTCCATTCACCACCTTTCAAATTTTCAATTTTTGTAGTTCTCTTACGTGTTATTATGGCTAAATGCGTAATGTTATGATACAAAGTATGAAGAACAATTCTGTCTGTTCAAAATAGTTTGTTTGTCCACCATGCAAAATTCATTGCAGTATGACAGCGTTAAAATACGTTTTTAAACTTGAAATTCAAATATGGGGGGAGGAAAAAAGAATCTTTTTGAAATTTATGCTAGGTTAGGTAATAATGTTGCCTCACTTTGATCAACGAACATGGATTATTTTGGGCCTGTAACATTCGAACTTGCGGTTGAGAAGCGGGGTCCCCGAAAAATGGATTTCTCGGATTACCAACCCCTTATGTTACTTAGTAAAGAATATCGAAATCCTCCTTTGCAAATCCCCCTTTGCAAAGCGAGGAGATTAATACGTAACATATCTTCCATGGTCTTCGCTGAACGAAAAAAAAAACTATTGTACCATATACCCTTCCGACTTGGAAGAAAAAGTACTTAAATATCATAACAAATTGCAGCATCATTAAAGAGATTAGGAACAAGTATGATCGTTGCGTCCCGAAAAGTTGGATGAGTCCCTGATTTTTTGTGCGCCAAGTAATCGTAAACAGGTTCAGAATTTGTTTATTTGTTTTTTAAAAACTTCCCGAAAATTTCGGGACCCATCTTTCATACTTGCTTAATTCAGGGACCCAACTATCATATTGTACCAAAGATTACAGTAAAAGAATTATGCTGACAAGTAGTGATGCAACATTCGTTCGAAATTTGCGTTCGAGTGTTCGATATTTCATTGGATTTTTCCGTAACCTTGAGAAAAAAACTGAAAATCAATTTTTAATTGAAAATTTTTCAATTTCCATGCAGAATATTTAGCATATTTACACGATCTTCAGTAAGTGTTGCCCTCTTCTTCGTAACAACGTTTCCAGCGGTGCTAAAAAGCCATCAGACGGGTTACTCGAGAATAGTATGCAGAAAATTTTCCTTGCCAATGTAGTGAGTCTTGGATACTTAGTGTAAACAACTCAATAACACGCAGGTCAAAAAGGACTGAATATTCGCGAGAGCCTTTGAAGGTTTATCGTCGAACGAACGTTCAAACATTCGGTTGCACCACTACTGATAAATTAGCCGATTACTTGATATAAGCTAAAAAAAAACTAAGTTAATAAGAAATTACAGGCCAACATACCATCGAGTACTCCCAGAATGAGAATTTCCATCCATTTAACAGGTTCCACAAAATAACTTGAACAGATGGTCCCTTGTGATTGGTTCTTACAAGTCGTGTTTGTTCCTTTCCTTCGCTTGAATACATCTCCAGTTGCACCAACATCTGAAAAAAAAGTATGGGAAACTTCGGATATATATTTTTTTCAAAATGTTTCACGAAGTTTTTACGCAAAAAATTAGCACAAGATTTTCTTTTATAAATTTGGTTCATTATGTTCAAATTTTATCTAGAGACCTCATAACACCTCTATGATATCCAAAAAAAATGTCTACAAGGCAGGGCGACAATTCGTGACAGGACATTGGCAAGTAGCCACCGGGTGATCCGCTACGAATTGCCGCCTCAGGTACTAAAATAGCAACTAAATTTCAAAAGAGCTCAGTCAACTAAAACGCAGAGGCGAAGAAAAATTTTAACGACAAATTTTGACAGAATCAACAAAAAAACTGCCGTAGAATAAGATTAATTCAAATACTTAATAGTTTTCTCTGTAACGATTGACATTGCGCCAAACTTTTTTGAAAATTTAAGAGCTTTGTCAAGAAAAAAAACTAGGGAAAAAAATTCAAAATAACCTTTGTTGTGAAAAAGAAGACTGGAGGAAAAGAAAAGATCTCTTCTACACTTTTTACACTTGTACACATCGTTGTTCACGCTCTTCGTCCTGTCGCCACAATCAACAGCAGATGTCAGAGAGGATGATGACATTGTCGTCCCTTTGTTAGGGTCATACAGAGGGTCAGGTGCCCAAACATTGTCATCTAGTTTGGCCAAGTTATCCATGTTTGCTGCAAACAAAAAAATTTTCAACGATAGAAAAAATTAACAAGCAAACTGTGGCCAAAGTGAGTAAAAACGAAAAAAAACTCGGTCAAATTTGGCGGGTAACTTCTAATTCGTAGAAAAAAATTTACGCAGAATACCCCCTGAAAAAGTAACAAAATATCAAATAAAATTTAATTTTATCACACAGGCAAAGCCGCAAGCTCGCAAACATGAGCGAGAAAGCGGAAGATACAAGAAATTTAAAATGCAAAAAAAAAAATCAATTTTGAAAATAAAAAATTGGAAGTAATAATTAAAAGCAACCACATTTTGCATGTAATTAATTAGAATGCATTAGAACAAATTGCGAGTAAATTATGGATTTCAAAAATCTCGCGATGTTGAACAATTTCGAAAATGGGATTTTAAATATTATACAATCGTATGCACCAAAAAGCTTTTTTCAGTTCATTTGATAAATTTTAAACGCCTCATCTGTGTCAACTTATTACTAATCAAATGTCAAGAACATGTCAAAAATAAATGCTAATGCAGCCTACTAATTGAACAGTGCCACCAAAAGTAGCACTTTTGTTTGCCACTTAGGCTGGAAAAACAGTTGCATCGTATTATCACACTAAACTACGCTCAAGTAAAGCCAGCTGAGCCTCGAGTCTAAGAGCAACTTTTCATTCTAGGATCGAGGATCAAAAACAAAGAAAAATGATCGATTCTTAGAATGAAAAACCTACGCGGTTACTGGACTCAAACCCGGACCTACAGATAACAAGTCTCGAGCCTAACAGATTTACACACAGGCGCTTGGTCTGCAGTACTTTCAAGCATATTTTATTCTTGAACATCATCACTAAAGAATGCACTTTATTAAAGCGGATATAGCTGGATAAAACTGTAGTTAATGCACCACTTAAATGACCAATTGCATTGGAAAAAAATCGCTGTTGTACAATTTTTTTCAGAAGCGAAGCTGCGCTTCGCGAACACTTGCGAGAACACGACCAAAAAGCAGCTCTAGAAAGTGCAATAAGAAAAAATTGAATTAAGCCTCGAAATTGCAAAAGCTCGGCTAGGTCTACGATTTGATCTGCGACCTACTGCAATCAAGAGATTTTGAGTCTCACGCAGTATCCGCTCAGCCACGCAAGCTTAACCTCAGACCAACACTAGTCACGAATAAAGCAGCTATATATGCTTATAAACTGCCAATGCCATTCAGCAAAAGTGGCACCAAATACAAAGAAACTCAATTTTCCGAGTAAAAATTTGGATTATATAACACTGAAGGCATCCAAACTAACTTTGCATGTAACAAAGCGCAAAGCATAATGCCACATCAAAAAAAATGTGCATTTCGAAAATCGAATTTTCATTATTGTTATGTTTGAAACAAATCACTTCTTTCGATTCATTTGATGAATTAAAAATGCATCAACTGTGTTAACTAATTAAGAATTTTTCGAATGTCAAAGCCCATGCTATGAAAAAGCTGTAGAAAAGCCCCAAAAGTGGCACCAATATTTGCGACTTAGGTTTAAAAAAAGTAGGTTCGAACTAATACACTCGCTTCGCAAGTGTAAGCACCTCAATCTAGTCTAGTGGCAAGGACATTGAAATCTTGAAAGTAAAACAAAAATGTCTGAACCAACAAAATCATCGATTTATTATTCCTGTCTGCCCCCTAGGGGTAGAAGGAACTATAGCCTAAGGTGTGTTTTTGATCAAAACTCGCGAAGCGCGATTTAGCCCTTTTTCATCTGCTTCCCCCAAATACCTCCTGAAAAAATCGTTTTTTGATGCGACGTTTTTTATGGGCGTGACATTCTGTCCAATTGGCACATCAACCAGCTATTTTGACTCTGACAAATGAAAATTCGAGTTTTGATATTAAATAAGGTCATAAAAACAAAAGAACAATGAAATGTTTGTTACAGTGCCATGCCAAGTAGAAAACTTGACCACAACCAGATTTATTATTTAAGCTCACATATTTGCAAATCTACAGCGCATAACGTTTGCTTATCCGCGGTTCTATTTCTCACGAGAGGTACACTTTTGGCGATTAAATTTTACGACATATCGAGAAACAAGACTGCAAGTGATATCTAAGCACTAAAACATTAACGGAGCGGTAATTAAGTAGAAAATACTTGGATAGACGCTCGTTACGCCGAAAAAATGCCCATAACAATGAAATGTTTTGAAGTTCCCCTGATTTTTTTCAAGTACAGTCAAGCAACGCAATATAGGGCCACCGATATAACAGATTTCAAAACTCCCACAGCCAAATAAACTGTGGTTGAAAAAATATACATCCAGTAGCTCTCTAGTGAAGTTGTTCTTGTAATTTATTTTTTTTTGAAATTCAATTTGACTTCTGCTCAATTTTTCCCATTTGATTTTATTTTGAAATATGAGTAATGACGATGATAACACTTTGTTTCTATTTCATACCTGCGAATTTCTTCAGCAGAAACTGTTTTAAAATCTGACTATCTCTATCAATTTTATTTCCCATTTCTTGATACATTTTCAGCTGTTCGAGAAATCCCTCATTCGGGTAAACTCCTTTTGGAACTGCTTTGTCCAGTACTTCTATGGCTTCAGAAGACGTCATATTTGAACTTTTCATCAGATAGGCAGCACATATTGTTGCACTTCTACTTCGTCCCGCTTGACAGTGAATTAGAACTGATTCGGGAGGAGTTTTGGTCCGAAATGAGTCTGTACAAATCAGCGATGTCCAGCCTTAGTAATTTTTAAACTTACAAATTTTATTGATTTGAAGCAAGGTGTTTTTTTCGTGAATTGATAACCTTTGCCAATTATTTAGTAATTTTTACTCAGAAGTTGATTACGAATTCTAATTCTATTTTGTTAAACAATTGCCTTCGGCGTACTTCATACAATTTTACTGATATTGATTAATTGTTCCGATACAAAAGGAAGTACTCTACTGTTTTTGAAAACAAAACACCATCAAACAGTTCAATAACTACTTTCAAAAGGAAAGAAACTAAATTAGAAACTTCCCTGAAAGAAAATTGACCAATAATAAAAATGGACATCACTGATGTAAGTGAAACTTTCTTCGAAGTGGGACAGAATATCTTCTGATTCCATGTCCATTAGTTCGATATGTTTATACACAATGTGATCCAATTTGAGGGGGAGATTGAAACTCATAATTGAAAGAACAGCTTTTATTGAATTCACTTCAGTCAAAAGGAGCTCATTTTGAGCACTTCCGACGTCCGAAATGAACAAGTTGTCTATAACTTTATACATCAATATCTTCAAATAAAAATAACATTTCGAAGCAATTACACGATAAGACTTTAGACACAATTGCAAAGATCAATTTCTAAGCGCTCTCTTTTGAGGTTCCTAAGAATCTACTTTATATGACACCTACTTGATCACCAACTGAATTCCTACAAGAGCTTACTTAATATAATTTACACAGAGGTGAAGCTGTGCTTCGCGAACACTACCGAGAAAACGGCGAAAAGCAGCTATAAAGCGAATAAAGATAAAGCAGCAAAACGCCTCGATTCAGTAAAACTTTCCGCTGGCGGATTCGGACTTGCGAGCTGCAGATTTGGAGTAACGGGCGCTTGAAAGTTTGCAAACACTAGCCACCAATGATGCAGCTATAGATGCTAAAAAATTGCCAATCCTATTCGGCAAAAAAGCCACCATATATAAATAAAACTAGTGATGAGTGCGGTGTTGAATCTCTGACCAGAATAAAAGGAGTCTCACGTCCTTCCATCTGCGCCACATTCGCTTATCGATCGGCAAATACTTGCCACAAACAAAAGAGTGAACAGATGTTATGAAATTTTAATGCTACAGATAGTGATTATAGCAAAAATACTACCAAATGAGCACTTTTATTTGCGATTAATTTGAAAAACTTTTTTTTTCAATCAGAAAATTGCTTAAATCGTTTTCATAACTTCTACCAATAGCTTTCTTCCAGACTTGAAAAAAATGCGAACCTTTTCTCAACCGCTAAGAAAACTTTAAGGATCTTTTTAATTATCAATTGAATCACGACTAAAAAAGCTTTTTAACGATTTATCACTTGAACTCATCTGAGTTTTATTTGTCGCACCTGATTATGTGGAGAAGAAAATTCGAAAAAAAACTAACTCAATTATGCCAACTAAGCTCTGTTAAAAACAAGCTGTTTTTTTTTTCAAATTGGCTAAAGCACTGAATCCATTGTTTGATATCTACTTTCATCAACTGAAAACTGTCTGCAAAGCTTTTCGAAGACGTAGTTTGGCTAGTGCCCCAACACTCCTCCCCATCGACAGAAAGAAATTGATACAAAAATCTAGGCTACTTCTTCAGCCGTTTAATTACGGCGTTTCCCTCACCATCTAAAAGCTTGTAAAATCAAAGATTCACGCACAACAGCTATTTCTGTTCGTGCTGGGGGTACGGTAAAAATTTTTCACACAGAGCCGAAGCGGCGCTCCTCAAACACAAGAGAGAAACTTAAAAAACCAGCTCTAAAATTGAAATAGGAAAAAGTAGAAACTCAACCCTTGACGGATTTGAACCTGCGACCTACAGATTTGTCGTCTCATGTTCTCGCATCTGCGCAACAAAACATTGAAAAATTCCAATCACTAGCCACCGAAGATGCAGCTACGTGCTAAAAAACTGTCAATGCTATGCAGTGGGAATAGCCAACAGACATTTGAAAAAGAGTCAATGAACGCAAGTAAACGGAAAAAAAATTAAACAGAAATCGAATTTGAAATATAAAATAGATGCCCTTAAAGATCTTAGAATTTCTTGAACAATTTACAATTTTTAGATGATATTAAGCCAATTTGAGAAAACTGGATCAATTAGAAAACTTTTATCTTGAGGGAAAATCTGAAAATTGAATTCAAACTTTCGAAATTCCAAAAAACAAAGCTCTTCGAAATTCAAAATTAATTTATGATTGACACTTTTTTGAAAAAAACTAAACCAGTTTGAAAACAGAACTTAAGGAAATCAAAAGTCAAACCGCGAAATAGTAAAATCGAGCCTCAAAAAAATTAAAGAATTTTCCTGAAAAAAAAAATCACGACTAATATAAGAGTCTGAACTATTTTCATCGATTCCCAAAAATGCCACTAAAGATAAAGAAAACGAGTGATAAGTGCGACGTTGAACCTTCGACAAGTATCTTAGGAATCTCATGTCATTACCTCTGGGCCACGGACGATTGTCTACAGGCAAACACTGGCAACCAATAAAGCCGAAAACAAATATGAAATATCCAATGCTGCAGATGGTGATTATAGCAGAAAAGCCATCGAATCAGCCAACACTTAGTTAAAACTTTTATTTGCGATTAGGAAAAAAAGTAGCATCTTACTATCACACAACGCTCAGCTTGAGAAATAACTTGTCATCTTTAACGATAAAAAGCAGTTTTATAATGCACAAGCAGTTTCTTTCCAGAATCTCATTTCTGTTTATGCTATAAAAAACACTCTAACAAATACAAAACAACCGGCCGTGCAAGTAGTGTTCAATAAAAGGAAGGACCAGGCTAAAAATGTTTTTTTTTTGTTTGTGTGTGTGTGCCTGCGATGCAAAAAATTTCCTTAAAATACGATGTTTCTTGTCATATCATATGGGGCAATCTTGGTATAATGTCAACTAAACTTATAAAAACGGTTTGATTTCTGGAATGGAATAGGCTCGCACGTGATTGCCTAGGCTCACCTGATAAATAAATCAATGAGCTGAGATAGACAAATGTTCAGTGCAAAGATCAAATAATTGTCAAATTAATGCAACAAAATTGTTCACAAACTGACAACTTTACATTGAAAAAAAAATAAAATTAAAATATATTTTTCACAATTTTTGTGCAAATAAGGAAAACTGCAGCGCAAATTCAATTCACATTACAACGATGTTTGGAGAACAATTTCTTTGAACGGCTCCAAAACCCTGTTTTAATTCATCGCAAAGCACAAAAAGAGAATCTCCGAAAGAGCTCGAGCAAATTTATCTTGAGTGTGAAAAATAATTCGTCCAAGCAAACATTCGGCCATTTAGAACGCAGAATGGAGCATACTTGCATCGAATAGACTCTCGCTTATTTTCTCTCCGTCTAGAAGCCAACCGTATTTGTTGCCTAATTCTTCGACGTATGATATGTACCCTTTCATAGTCTGTTGTTTTGGTCTGCCTTTGAGACGAAGCCACGCTTCCCTTTTGGGTGCTCCGAAAATATCTGAGAATTCTTCGTGATCTACACAGAAAAAAAAGAAATCAATTATACAGACAAAGCTAAATTGAAACACTTTTCAAAATGTTATTTATTAAATTATTCGATTCAGTAGCTGGTTAGGGTGGGGGGCATTTTCCGAAAAAATAGCCAGCGGCAAATACTCTCCCTGCCTCGCTTTCTAGCGTCTAGAACTTGCACGTGGCACTACTATTGCAGCGGAAATCAGTCAGGCTGTGGTAGGCCAAAAGCTAGAGGTCAATTAAGAGCTTGTCCTCCCACACTATCATTGCCATGGCTGGGGATTGAATACACAATCTGCCGATCTCAAAGCGAACACCTAGCCACCATGCTAAGTGTCTCAAAAAATGGCGAGGTATTTAAGAAGCGTCAAATTAATTGGAACTTTGCCTTGATGTGAGCAGACTTTTGTAATTTACTACAGGGGTAAAAGCCAATTCTGAATGAGTTGTCAATCAAAAAGAGTGTTAAGCTAAACAAAATAGCAACTCAATAAGTTCAGCCATTACACAGGTAGTTTCTAACCAAAAATGCATGCAAAAATGCACGATAGAGATAATGGTGCTTACTTGAATTGGTTCTTAGCTACAATCACTTACCAGTATTTCAACTCAAACTACTTTAGGTCTTTCTCAGTAAGCCCCACCCCACCCTTCCCCCCATAATGTAAATTCAAAGTGTAGGGGGGCTATCTTCTTTTATGTTTTCAGATTTATATATTTTTCCTTGTCTTTGAAGATCACAAATTTGTCCTTCATTTGATAAAACGGGCAGTGCTGAGTAACCAAATTGGGTTCGTTAACTGTCCCCTCACTGTTTCTGGTGCTTCATATTTAAATTCTCTTTATATGCAAATTTACCATTAACAGTGAGAAATAAATTCTTTCTTTCTTTGTTTCTTATTTTTCTGTTACTAGGCTTGAGGCTGCATTGTGATAGACCCCTACTTCGATTGTTAAAATTTGTTTGGTCAATATCGCTGAAAGCACTTGTTGACCTAGTAGTGACCTCACTCACCAACTGGGGGTGGATCACCCAATGTGCTCTGTTGTAGTAGGGAATAGAGAATCATCTGCTCCTGGAAGTTAGGCGTCGACTGCAGCCTCTGACTTCGCTTCTGTGCCTTTAAAAATTTCTAAAACACGACCACAAATAGTGCTCAACAACTTTAGCACTGCAACTTAACATTTTTTGCAACTACAATATTCATTATAGTGCAACTCATAAAAGAGTGAGAAAAAGTCTAACATGAGATATAATCCAAAAACTAGACAATTGGGTTTAAGGACTAAATTTCTAAGCACTTACCAGATTAAATTTTTAATTAAAAATGGGCAGAACGAAATCCAAATAAACGTTTCTTATTTGCGAGTTAGGTTAGAAAAAAATTAGTCATAGTAATACACTACGCTCAGTAGTTAAATAAGAAAAAAAATAACTTTTGCAGCATCCGGGGGCGTAAAAACTGAAACACGCAAACAGCATAGACTTTTCTATTAGTGCAATAATCGAGGAGGGTAGACTTTAATTGACTCCATAATTAACTGCATACTTTTAGTCTCCAGTTGCCATAAAAACTGCTTAGAAACAATCTCAAACTTTTCACTGACGCAATTATATTGCGTTGGTATGGCCCTATCCAAGCTGTGCACGGACCGTCATATGACGGAAGGGCCCCTTTTAGTTAACTTTGTTTCAGAAAAACGCGCCTAAAAATAAGGGCTTGGAAACTACTGAGGTTTTACACAGAGTAGAAGCTGCACCCGCAAACACTTGCGATAAGACACTCTTAAGTTAAATAAGAAAAAGTAGAAATCAGGGTCGAATTAGCAAAAACTCAGCTACGTGTAGGATTCGAATCTGCGACCTACTGGAATCAAGATATTATGAGACTCACGCACTATCCCCTCAGCCACTCAAGCTTAACAACCGACAAACACTAGTCACGAATAAAGCAGCTACATATGCTAACAAATTGCCAACGCGATTCAGCACCAGTTTTGACTCAGTTTGCAATTAAAAATTTGGACTATAACAAATTGAAAGCATCCACACAAACGTTGCATGTAACAAATGGCAAAGCAATAAGCCAAACTATGTATAAATTATGCATTTCAAAAAATTGCGAGATATACTGAGTTAGAAAATTTCTGAAATCGAGTTATTATTATTGCGATGTTGTTTGAAACAAATAGCTTTTTTCGGTTCATTTGATGAAATGAAAATGCATCAACTGTGTTTTATTATTAAGAAGTATTCGAATGTCAAAGCCCATGCTATGAAAAAGCTGTGAAGGTGCCCCACCAGTATTGGAGCGCCGCACAACAAAAGTGCTGCACCAATTTTTGCAACTTAGATTGGAAAAAAAGAAGGTTCGTACTAACACACAAACTTCGCAAGCTGAATAACAAAAAAAAACAAATTTGTAACAAAAATTCTTAACGGGAAAAAGTATTTTTCCCGATAACAAGTACACTTGCTCTCGCAAATTAGAATATTTCAATCTTTAATGCTGTTCTAAAATTTTTTTCAATTTTGTTCGAAACTCTCTGGAGTTCAGTTTTTTTCAACAAACCAACCTCTTGAACATCTGAAGGGGTGTATTGAAAAGCTGCTTGCATTTCATCCAAATGGTAGTGTAATTTTTTCTCCGAACTCATTGCGGGGCCGTGGTCTCTGTACTGGTCACGTGACTCGGTTCTACTTCCAGATGTCGCTGTGGATCCTCTTCTGAAATCTAACGAGGACTCTCGTCTGCCGTCCGAACATTCTGCTCTGAAGTCGGAGGAGTGCGGACGGAAGTCGGACGATTCTCGTCGGATGTCGGAGGATTCGGGCCAAGCAAAGGAAATTGAGCCGCTTCTAGGTGGCGCTTTGCCATTTCCGTTTCGTTCTCTGAAGAAATCTTAAAAACAAAATTCCGTTAGTTTAACATTTCTACGTACATTCGCAAGTGATAATCTTTTTACATACTGATGGATTCAAACTCTTACCTTAATATTGATTTTTCTTTAAGAAGTGTAAAGCAAGCTGTTTCGCAAGCAAAAGCGAACAATAACTTAAAAATAATTACAAATGCTTTGAAAAGAAAACTTCTTTAAAAAGAAAAGTCGAGTTTATTAGTGTCATGATATGAAACTCTCACTAAACTAAACTGAATCATCAGCTTTGAGAGCAATTGAAAGTCAGGCAATTTCTACAAAAATTTAGCATCAGCAACTTTTCTGAAAAACGAAAAAATTAGCACGACCAATATGAGTGACTTCACTAAGTTCGATGACACTTTAACACAAAAAACAGCATTTTTGTTCTACATCACGCAAAGAGTGGGAAAGAACAATGGCGAAGGGTCCGGTTCTTTAGTATTTTTTCAAGCCAACTACACTACCAAAAAATTCGTATAGAGTCAAATGTTATGAAATCATATTAAAGCTGTATTGTCCACAATTGGGATCCTAGAAAAAGAAAATCCAAAAAGGATGTGTCCGCTTCGAGAAAAACTGGTCTAAATTTTTTTCTTTTTCAAGCTCAACTAGAGAGAAAAAGCTGACCTCTCAAGTCAATTTTTTCTGATTTTCAAATTATTTTAACCAGGTGCAGGTTTAGGGTGAGGGGAACGAACGACCCCCGTACCCCTTCATGGATTCTATATGCTCACCAACCGAAGGTCTCCCCTGGGGTATTATTTTATGACATCCATTTTAGGCCGACCAACTCTAAAATTTTTCTTAAAGTGCCTTCGGCGCCAATATATACTAATTTTGAAGGCAAGCGCGCGCCAAAAAACTCAATTTTTTGGTAAAATTTTCTAAAATATCCCAAAAAGGGGGTTTTTGACCTATTTTTTTTTAAATTTGCCTGCGGCGCAAAATTTTTGGTCAAAATAGGGTCTTTACTGTGTTCTAGGAGTGCTCCGAAAATCAATTTGGTTGACCTAAAAAAAGGTCAACTTACTCGAAATCCGCTTTTTTATACTGTTCGTTTTTCTTACATTTAAAACTGTTTTCACTATCCCTTCTATTCGAGATACGTCAATGAAGCGAGTTAATAGAATAATGCTCTTCATAAAATGAAGCACTATGGTGATCGATGTTGAAGCTGGTCATGGGCAAAAAATCGCTAGTTTGAGACCCACCATGAACCATGCTCGGTGCAAGAGAGTGAGGCTACACTTCCCAGCCCAGAAAAAGGACCAAAAAAAGGACGGATGTCTTAACCAGCGACAATTGCAGATTTGCGTTGAGCTGAACAACTCGCATGTGATTCCTTGAATAAATGTTCATTGATGGTTGAGAAACTTCTCAGTAACATTGATGCGCTACTTAGTAATTATAGATACTTTCTGTTTGGAAAAAAATCCTTCAGTTGCGCACAGGCAAAAATAAACTTGGAGAAATTCATCCAAAGATAAATTAAAAATTTTAATTAAAATCACCCACACGATATGTAAAACAAGTGCTGTTTCTCGTCTAGAATGCAATTAAACCCCCAAGCAGCTTGCATCTCTATTCAAATTAGAATAAATTTTTAGCCGGACTATTTCGCCGCCTCGCTAAGCGATTAAATAATACTAAATTAGCTAAGACTGGGCAATTTTCCATCCCCCATAACTTAGCAAAAAAATCCGAGGTCGATAACTTTTTGTGAAAGAAAAATTGCGAGTGGCCGCTAACTCAGAGGAGGCTCCCATTACTCCCTGCTACATCTCTGCTGAAACAATGATCACAAATTGGAAGATTAAGTTTTCGAGAAAAAAAATTCGAAAACCGGTCAAAGGACCAAAAACTTGAATAAACGAGAGCCAAAACTTTATGAGTGAGAAAATTTGGGCCAAACCGCTCACAAAGGGAGGCTTTCCAAATCCGTTCTATTCATTGAAACTAAAATCTCAGATTTGGGAGAGTAGTTTTTAAGAAAACGAAAAAAAATACAAATATAATTAACATAATCTCCATACAGATTTTTTCGGAGGATGCAGACAAAGGGCTTAAATGAAAAAAGACCAGGAAAGCATGAAAGCACACAGGGAAATAGCCGGTTTCTCCTTTTTTTCGATAGAAAAAAAAATTTTGGGAAAAAATTGAGCTTACAAAAAGCTCTGAAAAGTTTCTAGTCCCTCTGAAACTACAGTGAACAATACTTGTAACTATCATGATGCTAGCTTACAAAACATATCCGTGATATGCCAATCATACCGATAAAATTTGAGCACATAAACTTATATCCGACGAATCAATTTTTACTGAAAATTTTTCAATGCATACATGCTAAAAAAACAAAGTCCTATCGGGATTCAAACCCCGGACTTTAGGTTGCTAAGGCCGGGATTCGAAGGAACCGATAGGTCAAGTGCGAAGGAACCTGTAGGCCAAGTGCGAAGGAACCTGGAAGTTTTTAAGATGCAATATAGAGCATACTGATCATTTGTAAGAAAAGTTGTTTACGGGAAAGTCTAGTTCCCGATAACAAGACACTTGCTTTCGCTAATGTAATAAGATCTTAGATGACGTTTCAACATAGCTGAGGAAACTTTGAAAAAAATATACCTTTCGAGTAGAAACAGCTTTATGACCTTTACGGGGTGGATCCAGAATTTTCTGGAGCGGTAGCGGATTTTCCAAAAAAAATTATCGAAATTTTGGTGAAACTTTTTGAATATTGATTTTTTGAGGCGCATTCATTAAAATCATTAAAATTTTAGGGTCAGTCAGCCAAAAATGGATATCTCAAAATAGTACAAAGGCTCAGCAGAGGGTCGAATATCTGATTGGGGGCGTCCATTTGTGTCGGCAGATATTCAAATCCCTGGTGGGTTAAACTTTTTAGCTCTTCTATGGCAACTTGAAGTTTAAGTCAACAATTGAGATCACGTTTTCGCGCTCTATTTCAATTTTGTTAATCGAAGGTAATTTCACTAACCATCAAACAACTCAACTTAAATTGTACTTGAAAATAAATCAAAAATCAGTCGCGAAAAACTGAATTTGAGAGTGAACAACTTTTAAGACTTCTTCTTGGGGTTCTACAGGCTTGGGACTTAATAAATTTTTTGTTTTTTTTTCGGTGAGATTGAGGTTTTCGCAGTGCTTTAAAAAATATATCTGAGCCCCAGAAAAGTCAAATTGATCTTACGAAAACAACATTAATCTAAAAACCATAAGCTTATTAGACTTTTTTGAGGCTCTGCGATTTTTATAGCTTTGTGAAAATCTCAGAATGGCCCTATTAAGCTAAAATTTTGTCAGGTTTTTGAAGTTTTCGACCAAAAAAAAATAGTCGCCCGAAAAATTAGTGTATAATTTCAAATCGCAATTGACCTCTAGCTTCAGATCTACCACAGCTTGACCAATTTCCGCTGCAATGGTGGTACCACGTGAAAGTTCGACGCAAAAAATACGTCCTTGAATCGCATAAAAAACATTGTTCATCAAAATAAATCAGTCTGGAATTTAGAGAAATGAGAAATGGACTATACTTAGGCTGTTTGTCCTTTCATAGATACTCTGCGAATTGCAAAAACCACAATTATTAGCATTCGGTCAAATAAATGGCCTTGAAAAAGGTGTAGCATCCCTTGGAGGCCCGGAGCCTTACAATAGAGCACTGGATGAAATCCTTACCGTCTGGATCGTTATGTTCATTCTCATCATCTGAGTTCGGGTCGTCATTTCCGGTTGCGACTCCTCTTCCCATTGCCATGCCTCCCAATTACATACAACACGCACTTCTCAATAGCTCGCAAAGTATTTGGTTGTCAATACTCAACGCTGTATTATGCGATAAAAATAAACTTATGAATGAACAAGGCCAGTAAACGAGAGACGATAGAACTGCTGTGATTTCATGCAGACTAACCAGCAAATGCAACGCAGCACTTTGACGAAGAGCTCAATCAACGTTCTAGACTCTTATGTTTAATAAAAAGGTGGTTCAAAATCGTACGCACAGCTCAGCGGGTAGTTAATTTGTTCTTTAATCACTTTCTTTGTTTTCACTAGTTACGGTCAATAAACAGATTGGACGAAAACTTTTTTATTTGCCTTGTTAGTTTCAAAAAAATGCGCATCAATGAATAATATCAAAAACAAAGTCCATAGTTGCAAAATAGTTAAGTTAAACAATAAATAAATATCATTTCTAGCAATCACTAAAACTACTTCTCAATTTCATAGCTTAAGCTTCCAATAAAATCACATCTCAAAATGAGTTTTGAGCAAATCAATATATTAGCATCAGACATTTTTCATTCCGAAGGGTTATCAATTAGGACCGATTGCTCTTTTAATTGCACGTCAACTTCAGTGGTTTTTGAAACAATCTACATCATTATAGTCATCATCATCTTTATCTGCAACCACGTCTGAGGTCAAAATCATCTATTGCGAGGGATATCAAGTCAATGAAGTCAAGACATCAAAACAAATCGTCATATTCCTAAAACAAAATATCAATCATGGTAAAATAAATTGCACGCAAAATGCTAATCTTTGGCTCGTTCAGACCTAAAAACATTCAGAGATTAGATAAGATCTCCTGACTTTATAATATGTGCGATTCGATGAACTACCAGCGTTCTCAGAGTTCTTTAGAAAAAAAAACTACCTGAGGCCAAGTTCCTTAGCACCACATATACACGCCAGTAAAACCTTTTCAGTAGTTTTTATTTTACACAGGAGCGACGCATAGCTTCCTACAACTTGCGATACAACACAAACATAGCATTAAAAGCTAGCTAAAAATTAGCAAGCCACTATGTCGGAAAAAAACTGAAAAAAAAAGGAAAAAACTTCAATTACCGAAACTTTTATACTGTTGTCTCGAATCAAGTTCAATTTGAGGTTAAAAAAATGTTGGTAAACACATTTATCGGTGTTAAATGAGAATTGAGACAAAATACAAAATGTACTAAGAAATAACTCCACCGACCCCCGTTGACCTGAAAAAAAAAACATTTGCAGAGCAACAAAAAAAGTTTGAAACGTTATAACGCCCTTACCTCTGAAAAACACGCTCATTAGACAATTTCCCTTCAAACGACTTGACAAGAGCGAAGCTGTACTCGGCAAACACAAGCGACAGATTGCCACGAAGTAGGTTAAAAAGACAAAAACAAATAGAAAAGGCAAGAAAACATGTTAATGAGTTTAGACATTCAAATGACCTCTACAGATCGGAAAAAAGTGGAACTCGTAACATGAAACTACGCTTCGCTTGAGTTAAAAAAAAACGAAATATTAGCCGTTGATAAAGCGGATAACACATCCTATCAAGAACAAAAGTATCAACATAGGCGCTACGCGCAATACACCGAAGCCATGGAAACTGAAGCAAAAACCAAACAACTTGAACAACTAATAATTGAAGAATAACAGTTCTAGAACAAAAAATCGTACTAATACATGTATACACCAAAATTTTGCTATATCGAGAAAGAGCCTGAAATAACAGTTCTAGAACTAAAAATCGTACTAACACATGTATAGGTTAAATTTTTGATATATCAACGAAGATCATAAAACAACACTTCTAGAACTAAAAATCGTACTAACACATGTATACACCAAAATTTTACTATATAGACAAAGGGCCTGAAATAACAGTTCGTGAGCTAAAAATCGTACGAACACATGTATACACCAAAATTTTGCTATATTGGCAAAGATCATGAAATAACAGTTCGAGAGCTAAAAATCGTACTAACACATGTATACGTCAAATTTTTGCTATATTGACAAAGATCATGGAATAACAGTTCTAGAGCTAAAAATCGTACTAACACATAAATACACCAAAATTTTGCTATATTGACACAGATCATGGAATAACAGTTCGAGAACTAAAAATGGTACTAACACATGTATACAATAAAATTTTGATATATTGACAAAGATCATGAAATAACAGTTCGAGAACTAAAAATCGTAATAACACATGTATACACTAAAATTTTGATATATTGACATAGATCATAAAATAACAGTTCGAGAACTAAAAATGGTACTAACACATGTATACGCTAAAATATTGCTATATTGACGAAGAGCCTGAAATAACAATTCTAGAGCTAAAATCGTACTAACACATGTATACACCAATATTTTGCTATATCGACAATATTAACAAAAATAAATGACGTGAAAATAAACAAAAATAAATATGTACATACATAAATTATAAATAAATATAAGCAAACTAAACATAATTAAATAAATAGAAGAACAGATAATTAAATAAATAAAGATGAACAAATAAAGAAACAAACATACGCAATCACGTGACATAGCGCGATATAGTCCAGCCCACATGATAATTGATAACTGTGGACGTTATTTGTCGACACTTGACAACAGACAACATTAAAAAAAAAACCCGTTACACGATACCATAACACCTTGACTAAAGTCTTCGGTGTAATTAAAATGATCAGTATTTTATGCGAGTTGGAGTAGAAAAGGTAGACTCGTACTATAACACAATGCTCGCAAGCTTGCATTCGGCAAAAATAAGCACTTGTACCCAGGGGCTGTGTTTTCTACGGTATGTTTTACCTCTGCACTAAATGGTCAGAATTAGTCACGGGATTTCACTTTATGCAGTATGTTGACTGAAACACGTTACCTGCAAATTCAGTGAACATAGTTTTTAACAAAAAAAAGCCCACCCCCCCTCCCCAACATTTTTGCTCCATTTTAACTTTTGCCAATCGAGAGCGTAACTTGTCTGCCTATAAGTAGTTGAATTTTAATTGAACAAAATGCAGTTTGATCAAATTAGAGCGTGATCAAATTCTAAACTTTGGCTAATCACAAGGATACAAAACTCATACCCCTAATCGACACTTTTCTAATAATTGTACTTACAGAACTCCAATTATTTGAGTCACCAAACAGAGACAAGGGCGTCACCCCACCAGTCTGTTTTGCTCCTTTTCCCCCTTCCACATTACAGAAGTTGAAATTACTCCTAGCTTCAGACGGATAAGGAGATTCTGAAGACATTTCGACCGCATGTCTCTTCTTACTAGACGAGGAGAACGCCTTCCTTCCAAGTTCAAAAGGGGGCGTTTCCAAGTCATCATTTTTGTATTTCCTGTTATCTGCACCATTTGTTAGTAACGATTCCTTCACACAGTTTGAAGAATTGCTCACACTTCTTTCGGTTTCACTGAGAATGAAAAAAAATTTAAAAAGGGGGAACAGAGTGATAAAAAAAAACATTTGTGAGAATCAGATAGATTTTCTGGATATTATTTATAAAAAAATTCAGATTAAACTTCTGGAAAAGTTCTTTTGATTCCAAAAAAATTCCAAAAAGTACCCAAAACGACATTCTGACCTGTGTTTTCTAAAATTTGCATGCAGCGCAGAAAGCTTTGTAATTTAAGGGTCGTTATTGTGATTCTGGAGAGGCCGTAAAAGTTTTTGAAAATTTTTTGAAAATCCCCCTCCCCTTGAGAAAATCCTAGATCTGCACCTGATTCAAATCAAATATCTTCAAATTGATAAACTGACTTACCGGTCTCCTGTATCACTACTAAACGACAATGAGTGCTTCAAATTGTCATAGACAGCTAACTCTTCCTCTACATTTTCTGCCTCTGAATCACTGAGCCACTCCGACCACCCGTGGCTATGACTACTGTCACTTATCATCCGAAGTCGGGAGGGGACGATTGCAGTGTAGAATTTGTCATTGCAGAAAGTCAAATCGAAGCTGAAACACATTTTACACGTTTTACCACCAGAAAAAAAAACAGAAGAATATATTTTGGTATGCATATTCTTATTCGGTAAAACTTTGATCTTTCTTTTTTTGTTAAGATAACCAATTTTGATGATTTATACAAACAAAACATAGCCAACAGACATTGTAGAAGAGACATAAACTCAAGGAAACAGAAAAAATACTGACTTGTTTTGTCAAACTTCAGCTTTCGAAATTCAAAATAAAAAATAGATGGCCTCAAAGCTTCTTGAATTTCTAGAACAAATACTGATTGCCGCTTTTTTGATAACATGAACCCAACTAGAGCAAACTGGATCAAAAGGTAAGTTTTTATTCCGCTGGAAATCTTGAAATTAACTTCGGCTAGTAGCTAGTAAAAATTCGGTTCCGTCTCGGATTCGAAGCTACAACTTACTGCGGCCTAAAGATTATGAGTCTCACGCACTAACCACTCAGCCATAGACGCTTAAATAATCACAAACACTAGCCACAAATAGAGCAGAGAACAGATGCTATGATATTTCCACTGCCAGATCTTGATTATAGCAAAAGTGCCACCGAATACATATTAAAAAAATTCATTTTCAATGATTATTTTCATTTGCGTGTTAGACAAGAATACACTAGCTAGTGTTAACAAAGGAATTAAACTGAACTTAAAAATAAACCAAATTCAAACAGCTAAAAATCAATTTTAGCGTGAAAAAGTTGTATGAATTGTTTCCAGAAAAAAAACACTAAGACATATATAAGCGTATTCACTACGTTTATGACTCTTAACAAATGATACACAGATTTTGACAATTTATTTATCGTAGAAGTTGAAAAGAAAACAAATTTAGGTGCTTCCATTAGCAAAGTTTTCAGAGCTGAGCAATAGGGGATTTAAGAAAGTAGACAAGGAAATTGGGCGCCGGAATATGAAAGTAAACTAGACTACCATTAAAGTGAGAAATTGAAAGAAAATGGGCCGACCATTATTATGAGAAAATAATCGATGGGGTGCGAAAATTGGGGAACCGGTTTTTTTTAGCAGACGAGTTTTTAGCATGAAAACTGAAATTTAGACCTTTCAGCAGTTTTTAATTGACAGCTTAGTAGATAGGAGCTTAGAAAAGTGCTTAGTCTGGAGTTGAGCTTCCCTAATTAAGACAATTATCTCATGGTTCAACAACATAACTCTAAGCAAAACAAGCTAGTTTAGCGGCAAAAGCTGATTTACGCGCATAGTTATTCTCCTGCCGAGTGTAACATAGACATAACAAACAAAATTTCGAGTTTGTTATGTCTACTAGATAGGAAAAAAACTAAGTCCGGATGACATTCTCGTTGTGTTATCTCCAATTGTGCCGAAAGATGAATGACCAATTTAGAAACAACAGTAGTTCTTCGAAAGCCAGGTAACCACAATGACGATCCTTGCCAAAAAATTCCCAAAATTTAGAGGACGTAAAAATAGATGGAAAAATGAGTAAAACCAGTGACAATCAAGAGTTCGTATAACATCAAAATTTTGGAATGGCAATTTTTTGTTTTCTGAAAACCCTGCAATTTTTGCAAAAAAAAACGAAAACACTTCATGTGGCGGTACTTTCAGCAACAAAACCATTTTGTCAAAATTATACAACTTTAAGCGCAATGAATGCCCGCAAAATTCCATCACTTTGGTCGCTTATAAGCAAAACAAACGAAGAAGCTTACTAAAATAATCTTAAAAAATTGATTAAAAATGTCAATCTTTTTTGTCAAAAAAATTCAACCCAAGTTATACACAGAAGCGAAGCTTCGCATCACTTGCGATACCACAAAAAGAGCATTGCAAGCTAGCATATATGAAAAGAAAGAAGAGTCCAAAGAAATCGGAAAACTTTTCGAAGAAACCTGATGTTATATTTGAGGAAAACACGTCCAGAAAAGCATTTGACGGCGTTTAATGAAAATACAGAAGCATTTTTGAGCGTACAAAAAAACTGTGGTTTTAACGGAAATATAAATTCTATTCTGAGAGTTTTAACGTTCCGGAAGCATACAAATTATGGTTCCATCGAATGACCCAAATTAGGTTACAATACCGATAAACTATAAGCCGAAATTATTTAGGGCGTAAATGTTTTCAAGCAAAAAATTATTTTAAGAAATCAAAACTAAGAGAATTACAAATTACCGTAACAAATGAAAGCATAAGAAGCAACAACAATAAGAACTGCATGTGGCAAAAAAGCCGACAAAACATAAGCAAACAAATAAGCCGACAATTTTTTTGAAATTTTGAAATATAATATTTTCCGTTTGAAAAAAAAAAATAGGTCCTGGTCAGATTTGATCCCAGAACTTTTGCTGTCCCAGAAGTATTCTTTACCTTCAGACTAAATGTGCCAGAGACGCTTAGAACTTGGAATTCATTATGAACCGGGCAGGAGACAAAACCATTCAAGTGATTCTGTTAAACTAGTTGTTAACCCGAAAAAAGTCTATATTCCAATTTGATAACTCTTGCTTATCTCAAGCGTAATTACATCTGATAATGAGTCGGATTTCATAGCTGCAGTGCAAAATTTAATGCCGGAGGTCGATCATTTTGGCGGTTACTCAATGCCTAAATCCGTCGACTGAAAAACAATTACGAGGACAACTATCAGTTTGGATATTTACTGGAACAATAATGCCGTTATTTGTCGAAATCTTTGGAAAAAAAATATTTCAAACTATACTTGCCACAAAATATTTGTCAAATTTGCACATTTTTGATACTATTCGGACTTTACCTTTTTTGTTTCGTAATAACACGTTTCATAATAAAGACTTTGATCGGATAAATTCCATTTTTAAACGGTCGTCTTATTTACTTCTCTAATTTCTTAGGCCACGTGCAATAGATATAAACTGATGTTATCTGTCACTTTGCTCACGACCATAAAACAATTATATAAGTAGCTACTACGTTATTATTGAATGCCTTGAGCACACTTTGCGAGCTGCTCATTATAGCTTGAAAAAAGACACACAGATATATAAAAAAACGAACTCAATTGCACCACAGACAAAAACCAGCCGCGATTTGCTAAAAGTAAAAACTAAAATAGATTTTGTCAAACAAACGTAACTTCATACATGCTCATAGTAAGCTTAAACGGTAATATTTCACTGGAAATATATTTCATGGATCTACTTGTTGATCTAGCCCATAAACCCTGTTATCGAACAACGCATCAGCAGAGCTGCAAAAGAAATCATAAGTCAAACAGCAAAAAAAAATCCACTTGATTGGAACAAACATTAGGACTTTTTTCTGAAAAAAAAAAACATTTAGACTTATATAAGTGAAACTCATTTCGCAGAAGCAAAAACATACCCAACAGAAGTCAGCATGCAATGTTCATGAAACTAAACCAAAAAAAAACTCTTCCCAAGCTTGTTAACTTTTTCAAACAACTAACATCATGAGAAGCCTCTTTAATTTTCAAGATAATTTTTATGATTGACGCTTTCAATTTTTAAAACTCATTTTGAAAAATCCAATTAATACCTTATTTTCTTTTTTTGCTGAGATTTCTAGAAATTAAATTTAAACTTGAACTTGAAAAGACAAGATTGTTCATTTGAAACTCATATCTAAGTTTGAATATATTAGCTTTCTATGTCAAACTAAGTCTTCATAGAACTACATGGACAAAATGCGTATGGAAATTTAACAGTTGAGAGAAAGTAAAAATTCTCACTTGGAAGGAGTAAAGAATCCGTCGGGAGAAATACTGGTGGACAAGGAGTGGTCTCTAGGCGAAGTGTGAGGAGTTGTCACATCACTAGTACTGTCCCAAATGATGTCTCTTTCAGACATAGAAACTGGATGAACTAACTGAGACGACACTGCTGAAGGTAAAAAGTGATGAGCATTTATTTTTTTTAATGTTAGCATCGAGTATTGACTAAGCATGAAAAAATCTTATCGTTTTAATGACTGATTATCGTATAATTTTTTAAATCTTTTCAGGATTATCATTTGTCGTATATTGCAAATGATGTACATAACACTGGTTCGTTTATCGTCAATTTATTTCTCGATTTCAGATTCAATAATTACATTGCACTTCAAAACATAGCCAACATACAGTTGGAAGAGTCGATGCACGCAAGCAAACAAAAAACACAGACTTTTTTCTGAAAAACCTCAATTTTCCAGTTTCAAATATAAAATAGATACCCTTAAAGATCTTGGAATTTCTAGAACAATTTAGGATTTTTAGATAAAATTAAGCCAATTTGAGAAAACTGGATGAATAAAAAAACTTTCATTTTGAGGGACAATCTGAAAACTAAATTTCCCGTAGAAACTAGAAGTCGATCACGTTGTTCCTGACTTTTACACTTTTGCTGTTCGATAGTGCAATTGCCTTCCCCTTTTAACAAAGGAAATGAACTGAACTTAAAAAGAATTCACAAGTCAAACCGCAAAAGTGATTTTCAGCCTGAACAAATTTTAAGACTTCCTGAAAAAAAAGACGCGAAAAACAAAAACATAGCCAATCGAAGATTGGAAAAGAGTAATGAACGCAAGTAAACATAAAAAAACACTGATCAGTTGAAAAAATTTCATTTTTCAAACTTCAAAGAAAAAAAAAGAGATGCCCTTTAAGCTCTTTAAATTTGTAGAACGACTTACGATTGGCGCATTTTTGATAATATTAACCGAACTTCAGATAACTGGATCAACAGGTAAAGTTTATAGTCCGCTGGAAATCTGAAAGTTAAATTCCACTTTCCAAACTAGAAATCACTCACGAATTTTTGCGCCATTTGCACGTTCGTATTTGGAGAGTGCTATTTACATCACTTTCACCAGATGAATTTCAATTGAACTCAAAAAAAGCATATATAGCTAAATGCGTCAATATTTTAGGACTTTTTTCTGAAAAAAAAAAAATCAGCAAGACCTATAAAAGGGTCTTCACCACGTTTATTACTCTTAATCATCACGACCTATACTAGAGTCTTAACTACGTTCATCGACTCTTAAAAAAACAAAAAATCATCACGACCTATATAAGAGTATGAATTACGTTCATCGACTCCTTAAAATAAATGGCCTTAAAAGTCTTTGAATTTGAAGAACAATTTATGATTGGCACTTTTTTGATAAAAAATAAACCAATTTGCAAAAACTGCATCAAAAAGTAAAACTTTTATTTCGCGGGGAAATCTGAAAAATAAATTCCACTTTCGAAACTAGAAACCGATCACGTTTTTCGTTACCTTTACAATTTAGTAGATTTTGCCCTTTTTAAAAAAAATTAAGTGAAATTAAGGAAAAGAGAAGTCAAACTGCACAGAAGTAAATTTGAGCCAGAAAATAAAACCAAAAAAATTATCGCGGCCTATATAAGAGCATGAACTACGTTCATCGACTCTTGAAAATAAAATTGATCGAAAAACATATATTTAATTGTTGATTACAAAGACGCGGGCGAATTTTGCTAATTTTCATAGAAAACTTTCCCCTATAATGATTTAAGCTTAATTTAATTTTTGTTTTGAAATGACCCAATTTTTGAGCCATAACTCGCATCGTTAACAAGATTCGACATTTCGGATCTTTTTATGAAAAAATATACAAATGCTCACTTGACTACTAGAACTTCTCACAATCATGGCCTAATATTTTAAATTGCTTTTATTTTGCTCAAAAATGCCCATCACTGTTTGCAGCTGGCAAAGATGTTTGTGCAGTGAGAGTGGCCGCTAAGCTGCTGTCGTATTCCTCTTTTTCTTCCCTTTCGGGAGGGGAGGGCGACTGGTGCTCACTGTGCTTCTTCTTATTCGTCGTGGTGTGTTCCAGAAAATGACCTAACACACCAATTATCAGTTATGATCCACAGAAAAATCAAGCTAAATGAACAGTTTTTTAATTAGTGAGATGTGAAATATTTCAGAGCTCATAGCAAAAGCCAAACTTTTAACTTTAAACTGACTAATATGTATAATTAATTTCCGTCATCAAAAAATATGCCAATTTTATCCTGTGAAAACTACCAATTTTTAAATTAACGTTCGTGGCAACTTTTAAATTAACCGCAGTATCTTATCTCTGCAAATCAGCAAACTCGAACTAGATAAAGACATCTATAAATTTTCAAAAGTACCATTCATTACGAGTTTGACGTACCAGATAAGTTCGCTGAGTGGTGTTTGTCCACGTGTCTAAGACAGGATATCCGATTGCCTGTGATGTCTATCCTGTCGCGATTGAAGTCCAGTTCCTGTTCTGGCCCTATCCTCTCAACAGTCTGCTCAGAGCCCATCTGGTCCAATTTAAGTCTCTTCATGGGCGAAACTTCAAACTAAACAAAATATTCAAACTAATATACGTATAGTATTTTTGGGCTATTTGCCAATTTCCCAAAACCCCTCGCCAAAAACTCAAAATTTATGATACAAAAATGATTGACAACGACTAAAATCAAATGAAAAAAAAAACGAAAAAAAAAATCTTCAAATAGCTTTTGTCAAAATATTTTATTAAAACTTCAAAAATTGTCCAAATTATCCGGAAAATTACTTGAACCAATAAAAACTTTACAAGGAGCTTTCAGAACGCTAGAAAGACGCCAAACTTTCAAAAATTTCCATTCTGTTAGCCGAAAAACAATCAGCAGACAGACAATCTAAAATAACTGAATATTTTCAGTTTGCTAAAAAAAAACAGGTCCCGACAGAAATCGAACTACCGGGCGCTGTCATCTCAAGCATGGGTGTAACAGTAACTTGGAAAGTTACATTTTTTTTAAAAAAAAAGTCGGACTACGGGAACTAAGCCGACCAAAATAAGATCTAAAAAAGACGAAAATTAACACAGAGGCGAAGTGAAGCTTTGCACCAACCACTTGTGATACAACAAGCATAAAAAAGTCGAAAAATTAAATTTTGAAAAAACTAGGTGAACCGAAGTTTTCGTATGTCTCGATTAAAAAAAACAACTAGGGGCCCAGCTAAAGCTGGAGGTACATGCTTGATACTAAATTAAATTTCTATACTCATGCGGCACGAAAAATGTGACTTCAAAATTTGGACTTTAGTTCTTTCTCTACTAACTTTGAGATGAACAAATTTCTCAAAGATATAACATTTCTAATACAAAAAGTTAAGGAGTCCCCGCTTATGTGGGAACAAATATCCCAACGGTCAAAAGTTCTAAAAAAAACTGCCAAAAGATTTTCCAAAATCCACAACTTGTTTCGCCAAAAAGCAGGTTTTGTCTATTTAGTCAGAGAAGATTCCCAAAATCGGGTTTCTTCACTGAACACAACCTGAAAATTGGCACGGTAATTTTCGCGTAGAGTCAAAACTTTGACTTGTTTTCCAAAACGAAAAAATAAATTTCAACAAACCGATTGGTAAACATACAACCAAGTTGAAAAGTGCGGAGGGAAGTATTAAATTGTGTTTCCCTTGAAGCGACCCAGAATTGGGTCATTGGGCCGATGAATAATAGGCCAAATTAATTTGGGCCGAAGAATTTTTTAGCGAAACAAAAAAAAATAAGGAAATACGAAGTCAAGGTAAGTAAAATTACATATTGTAGGAGTAAATTAAACACTGAAAGCAACATAAAAGAAAATTGCGTGCAGCAACAAAAACGATTGCAAGATATGACAGCTAAGCTGACAATAAATAAGCAGACAAATATTTTGCCTACAATTTTATTTGGAACCGAAAATTTCCCGTTTGAAAAAAAAGGTCCGACTCAGATTCGAACCCAGTACCTTTGCCGTCCAAGGCATAATCGTTACCTCTAGGCTAATATGCCTGGGAACGCAAAGATGTTTGAATTCATTATGAGCCAAGATACAAGTGATTCAAATGATTGTTAAACAAGTTGTTAACCCGAAAAAAAGTCTATACTCCAGTACAAAGTGAATCAATGGTTGCCCACCCAACACTTCAATTTTTACTAAAACGGACAATTATACAGCACAAACAAGAGTGTATCACGAATTGTATGTTCGAAAAATCAAAGCAGTTGGTACAATTTATAAAAAAACTCTATATTGTCCCCAATCAAGTTTGCAAGTAAAAATCATGCACTTGACACTGTTCCACTGATAGTTTACTGTTTAAGTACTTTCTGAAAAACTATCTATTAACTGCATTCACGTGTATAACAACAAAAAAATAACACAGGCGAAGCTTTGCTTCGAAAACACTAGCGAGAACACGAAAAAAGCAGCTCTAGAAAGTGCAATAGGAAAAAGTAGAGATAAGCTTCGAACACAGAGGCGAAGCTTCGCTTCGCAAACACTAGCGAAAACAGGACAAAAAGCAGCTCTCAAAAGTTGATTCAGAAAAAAAGGAACAAAGCTTCGATTTAGCAAAAATTCGGCTAGGTCTAGGATTCGATCTGCGACCTACTGCAATCAAGAGATTTTGAGTCTCATGCACTAACCACCCACGCTTAACCACAGAAAAACACTAGTCACGAACAAAGCAGCTACATGTGCTAATAAATTGCCAAAGCTATTCAGCAAAAGTGGCACCAAATTTAAACAGACACAATTTTGCAAGTAACAATTTGGAATATAACAAATTGAAGGAATCCACACTAAAATTGCATTAAGAAATTGCAAAGCATAAAACTACATAATGTATAAATTATGCATGTCAAAAAATTGCGAGATATATTGAGTTAAAAAATTTCTGAAATCGAGTTTCTATTGAGTTATGTTGAAATAAATAGCTTTTTCGGTTCATTTGATGAATCAAAAACGCATCAACTGTGTTAACTTATTACTATTCGAAAGTCAAAGCACATGTTATCAAAAATCTGTAAAGGTGCCCCGAAAGTGGCACCAATATGTGCGACTTAGGTAAGAATAAAAGGTTCCGAATAATACACTAAGCTGACGCTAGGGTAAAAACCAGGTCAATTTCTTCGACATAGCTAAGTACATTTCTTCAAGATTTGTGGGTACAAAAAATAGTTACTGATAAAAAAATCTTTTTCCGCAGTCCAAATCACTTGCTCTCGGAAATGAAATGAAAGTTCATTGTTCTAATTCTTACATCGAAGTGTATTAGCTTGAGACTCTGCTGTCTCTGTCTATCTCTCGAGTGGAGCAGAGGGTGATTGAGTAGCTGTTCTGCTGATGGCCTCTGTCTGTACTCCTTGTTCATCATCACATTCAATACTTGCAACAGCTCACCACTCATTTCTAAATAATCAACACACTACTAGTGCTTGTTTTCATATATCTAGTCTAACACTATAAAATTTGGATTGGAAACAGTAAATAGCTCACGTTTTGATAGAATTTCTCTTCATTCAACAGAAATTTACGTTTATTACACATAAAAACGGGCAAGAAATTCGGTTCAAAACGATATAAACGACCGTATCTTTTCCAATCAGCTAAAGGGTATTTCAAACGAACGATACTTAACGTTAGAATGTTCTAGACGTTAAATCAAACTTTGTTTGTGCATCAAAAATGAAACTCGGCATAATTTAAGCTAAATTTTAAGTATGTAGGCGAAATAAACTCGCTTTCCGAAAAGAAAAAAACTCGAATTCCTACGTTTTGAGAACTGTTCGGGTAGGTTGTGGGAAAGCCCATCCCGAAGGAGTTGCCACCACGTGCCTGACTTGGGCATTTCAATTGATGTCACACAGTCTAGAAGAGTGGCGCCCAGACTGAACATGTCGGCTGCAGGTGTGAACACTTCTGACAACACTTCCAATGCCAGGTACCTTTAAACAAGCAAGAGCAAGGGTTTAGGAACTTAGACGACAGGAAATTAGACGATCCGAAAGTAACGGAATTTAGACAATAACTTGCGACCAAATTGCGTAACACTTGTTTACAGACTTAAATTATCTTTTGGCTGAGTAAATTCTGGTTGTCCAATTTAGACAATAACTTGCGAGCAAATTGCGTTAATTTTATTTAGACTTCAATTAATTTTTGGCTGAGTAAATACTGGTTGTCCGTAAATTCCGATTCTTTACGGTCGTCTAATTTGCTTGTCGTCTAATTTCGTAGGCCCCATTTACTTTAGTCTAATTATTATTGACATTATTATAGTCTATTGACATTATTATCTACTTACTGAGGCATAATTTCCATCTCTCAAATCTCATAAACAGATGGAAAAAAAAAGTTTTTAAAATTTCTTTCATAAGTTTAACACTTAAAACTGGTTGAAAAAATTGGTTGTATTCAGCATTTTATAGTTTTACAAAAAATTGCTAGGAAAACTTTGGTTTTAAAAATCGTCCATGCAATCGACTGATACATCTGTCCACGCTTCTAGTGTAATTGGCTCACACTTAATGTGAGGATAATTGTATGATGTATAAAGTGACCTATTGAACCGCTTCATCTATCTTACGAAATAATTTATTTCTCCACGACATACTATTTACTAAATCATTACACGTCTATCTTAGCACAACATTGATAATGGGGGGATAGACTTAAGGCATATTAGATGTCTACTTAATGTCTTCTTCGCCCATAATCTTCAACATGATAACCTCGATTATTCTGTTTTGCATGTAAGTTTAAACCTTGAGTCGCCCTCTTGCGCATCACTCATTGCGTCTTTTTCGTAATTGATCATCAGTCCGAAGTCTCCCAGTTTATAAACAGGTGGCACAACCTCTCCTCTCGTTTCTTCTGAAATAAAAAAAACTCATAAGTTTCAGTTTTCAGTTTTCGCAGCCATTTTCAGGCCCCTATAACAGATTAACATAGTTAAGTCGACAAAATCCAAAGGACAATTTTATCAACAAGCTCTCAGGCACGAGTAATCAATGTCATCTCCTTCATCTGTTTAAGATTAACTCGACTGATAATCATTAACTTATTTTGATCTCCGTACCAAAGTTTGCTTTTCTGGCAAAGAATGTAGCCCAGGTTTGTATAATGAAATTACGATGACATAAAACCAATCTGTAGTTTGGAAGATCAGAAAACCAACATGAGTTTGTTTGGAAGTATAGATTAGAAAACCAATTTGTAGTTTGTAAAATGAGAACATAGCCAATCGAAGTAAACATAAAAAAAATTGATTTGATTGAACTTTCGAATTTCAAAAAAAAAATAGATGCCCTTTAAGCTCTTTGAATTTCTAGAACAATTTATGATTGGCGCTTTTTTGATAAGATGAAACCAAATAGAAAAAAAATGGATCAATAGGTAATGTTTTTGAAATCGCTGGAAAGCGAAAAATTAAATTCCACTTTCGAAACTAGAAATCAATCACAATTTTTTGTGTCATTTCCACGTTCATATTTGGAGAGTGCTATTTACGTCACTTTCTTATATACCTAAGTGCACTTATAAATGTATCACTATGTGTGAATGCACATCTGCAGTTATTAGAAACTTTTTCCTGAAAAAAAAAAACAAAAAAAAATCAGCAAGACCTATATAAGAGTCTTCACACAGACTTTTTCCTCAAAACATTTTTTCTTGAAAAAAAAAAACAAAACAAAAATCAGCAAGACCTATATAAGAGTCTTCACACAGAGGCGCACAGAGGCGAAGTTGCATTTTGCATACACAAGCAAACATATGACCGATAACACTATTGAGAAAAACCGAATGAGTTAAACTTGGAGTCTACACAAACCAATTATGACGCATTAGCAATACCAGTCAATTTGAAACAAAAATACCAACTAAAATTCCTCGATTTATAGAGCGGACGAATTTTAACTAGTTTACGAAAAAGTTCATTGAACACATCCGACCCAGCCCAGGTTCGAACCCTCTTATTTTGTTGCGGTTCTCCCTCCGTACCTCTACGCTACAGATACATGATACCTTGAAGCTAAAGTGATACTTGTAATATAATAGTCTGTGTTAATATCCTTAGCATTGGCTGTTCTGAATAGCTGGTTATTGATCAAAATGAACTTTCAAAATACACACATTTTGTCGCAACAATATGTGCGTCGCAACAATATTTGCGACTTAGGTTGGAAAAAAAGAGTTCATACTATAACACAAGCTTTGCTTGTGAAATCACTACGTTCATTACTCTTAATCAGAAAACCAATCTGTAGTTTGGAAAAAAAAAGATCAGAAAACCAACTGGAGTTTGGATTTTTGAAAGTTTCGCAACTGATGTTATTCTCTCCCATCGGGATTCGAACCTGTACCTGAGAATGTCACAAATATGTTGTCTGGTTTGATGTCAAGATGGATGAGTTTGTGAGTCGCGAGGTGCGTGAGTGCATGGAGCATATCTATCAACACCAGCCATGACTCGCCTTCTGTTATACAGCCACTCTCCCCTTCAGCTGTCAGCGCCAACAGTCTACAAACAAATCATGAGTCAACATGATTCACCCATCTCAAATATCAAATATAGACCAAAACCCTTGTCAAATATAGACCACAACCCTTATCAAATATAGACCAAACCCTTGTCAAATATAGACCACAACCCTTGTTAAAAAATATATATCACACATCTGAAAGATACTGATGTCTTTTCGGGGTATACAATTTGCAGGGGCTACAACAAAATATACACATATTTTAATTAAGATCACGGTTCCAGTTAAAATCCGTTCTTTTTCTAAAGAAGCTTAATTAGTTTTTCAATCCTAAATTCGCCAAATATAATATCATTGGCTATAGGCCATCATTGCGTTACAAGTTAATATTTTTTGGTTATTTTTCTTGAAATGGTTAATGTTGTCTAACTCTCAAGCAAAGAGCACGGATTATTGTGGGCCTCGAACATCTGACCTTTCAATTGAAAGGCTGAGACCTAAGCCTTCTCTGCACTTTTCGATTGGCCGTCAAAACAAAAGGAAGAACGTGAACGGAGTTGTACTCACGTTGTGGAGCACAACTCAGTCTGTATAAATAGGAAGTTGCTCTCCTCCCAAGCATGAACAAACTTGACACAGTGCGTGTGTTCTCCTGTCTGTTCCAACTTGAGCACCTCCTGTAGCTTCCTCTGCCTGTCCAGTTTGCCTCTGAATCTCTCTCTGGACTTCTTCAGTGCAAACAATCTCTGACTCGAACGGTCACGCACTTTGAAAACCTGCCATTAGAAAGAATTTTGTTTTCATTAATTGCAGAACCTCTGGACCTCAACTAACATCACTTAGTCAGCTTAAGCACGCAAAAAACCGTAAACTATTGGTATAACGTTACTTTTACATCACCCATTTGGTTCCAACTTCAGAAATTTCCCTATAACGCCATTATATGAAAGATTTCATGCGGCGGGGGCTAAACGGCAAGCTCACAAAACTTGTTCAAACACTTTTGTTGGCAGAGGCGAAGCAATTAGAGCCTAGCATTGCAAGCTAGCGACTAGAAAAGCGACGAGTATAAGTAAACCGAGAAAGAAATTGAAGACTCTTTTGAAAGAAATGAAAAATTCTATTTAAGAAAAACAGCCGAGAAAAACAACCAACCGAATGAAATAAGCTATTTGAGTTTGCCAAGCGGCTACTAAACCGGCAATACGCGTGTAAACGCCCATTGAGACGATAGCAATCGAGAATTCCATAAGATAATGTTGTAACAAAAAAAAATCGAAGCGATAAGGTTTTGAAATTTGTGAACTTTCAGATTGCAGCCAATTTGAATTAGTTTTTAAAATAGTAATCGCTTTTTGACCTTCAAACAATCTAAAATAAGTTGACTAAGCCAATAAAACAGCCAAAACTATGAGACCGACTTTTTAGCGAAAAAATATATCCAATAAATCAGGGTTAGTAAATCTGGAGGCAAGCCGAGCTTCGCATCACCTGGATACCAAAAAACACAGCAATGCAAGCTAGCAGACAGCAAATAAAAAGAACGCCATCTAGCCAAAAAAAAGTCAAAATAACCTTGTCTACCAAAATTTCCAAATTTTCGTCTCGAAGGACGTTCTTCTTACGGAAAACACTTCCAGAAATACAAACGACCGCGTCAAATGAGTACTCAGAAACAATTATCGAGTATCACCTAAGCCGACAACACTTAGGTAATCCCCCGTTGAGCCGGAAACAAAAAAAATTGTCATGAAAACCTTTGAGCTATAAAGCTCTTAAATTTTAGGCCCTTTACCACTCCGGCAAAACAAAAGAAAAAATCTAGCTGCCGATTACAAGACTTTTGCTCTCACATGTGTAATAAAAGCTAGTTTCTCGTTTCTTTGAATTGAAATCAGTTATCATTTTCGATAATGGTGTTCATTGTGTTGGTTAACAAATATTCACAAATAAAGCAGCTACATATGATCGCAAATGGCCAATGCCATGCATCAAAAGTGGCACCAAATATAAATAGATACAATTTTGCAAGTAATAAGTTGCAATAAGTCATCCACACTAATGTTGCATGTAATAAATTGGATAGCATAAAGCCACATTACGTATAAATTATGCATTTCAAAAATTGCGAGATATATTGAGAAAGAAAGTTTCTGAAATCGAACTTCGGTTCATTTGACGAATTAAAAATGCATCACCTGTGTTAACTTATTCCTATTCGAATATCAAAACACATGCTATCAAAAAGCCAAAACGGTTTTCCAAAAGTGGCATCAAAATTTGCGACTTAGGTTAGAAAAAAAGAAGTCGTAGTATAACACTAACGCTCACTAAAGTTCGTAAGGGTAAAAACAACAAATAAATTTCTTACTTCCCCGAATGATCCGGATCCGAGTTTGGACAGCACTTCGAATCTACTGTTCACATAAGTGGTTTCATTTGTTCTACACGGAGAAGGAGACTGAATGAGAGAAGATGATAACAAGTCCTTTCTGTTTGAGAGGGAGTGGTCCACTTGCTGCTGCTGTTCAAAACTGTTCTCAAGGTCACAGCTGCTTCTCGTGCTGTCGAGGCTGCAGGTGCTGTTCGAGGCTATAAAAACGCGTAATAGTAATTTTTGTTAATTTTTGTCAGTTAAAGGCCGAACCCGGAATCAAGTTATTACTTAATCTTATTTAATTAAGTTGTGACATTTTTGCAAAAGCTCACCTCGCAAATTGTAGCACACAGGCCAGTTTCGAACAGGCAACCTAATGATTCTCGGTCAGCTTCATTGCCACTTGCGCCACAATGTCATTTTTAAGCGATAACGAAACAAAAAGCGATCATTTGAAACAGCCCTCCCACCAGCAATTTTTAAACTTTAAACTACTGTTCACATTTTCCAATCATTTGGTATGTGTTGATTGCTCAATCATAAACACAATTGGTCCTGTTATGCAACGTCTTAAAATTAACGATTAAAACGTAAACTGACATTTAAACATGATGGGTGAATGATAAAAGAGCCCACAAAGCTATACTCAGACTTGACTGTTTAAAAAAACATTGTGAGAATCGAGCAGCCAGAAACTGAAAAATCACGTCGTCTCAAAAATTTGAATGATGAAAAATTTCAAATGCAAATAATTTGGCGAGCAGTTTGTACTAAGGCAACTGCTAGCACTTTGAAATCAATTTTTCACAGCATTGTATTGTAATATCTATGTTTCCCCTCGATAAATTAAAAATTAAATTAAGAAATGAAGTGAAAATTAAGTGAAAAACTAGCCATACTAGAAACAAATGATTACTTAAACAGAAGAAAGGCCGCATTAAAATTTCAAAGTCTCATCTATAAAAAACGATTGTAAGATCACGAAATCATCATGATAATTGAAAGTATGTACCAAACAAATTGTTTATAAAAGGACATTTAAATGTATAATTTTGTATTCGTTCAGCGAAAGTGTAAAAATACCTCTTCGCTTGCAAAAAGAGACCGTCCTGTTCCTCTGAACACTTCGATTCTGAGCCTCGTCCGAACATTTCCCGTTCTTAATAGGTGAAATCAGAGGCGCACTTTCCTTTCCACATATCTCCCCTTGAACCAATAGCTTTCTGGGCGATGACTCATAGGGACTGTTAACACTACCGGTGCCCCCCATCAGTCTTCTCTGGGGGGTGAGAGATTTGTTTGTGAAGAGCATAAGACGACTCTTGACGAATGTGGTTCCCTTCGAGGGCACCCGCGGACATGACTTGGTTCCAGTGAGTTTCTGTTTCTTTTGACTGCTCTGAAACAATACATGGATTTTCATTTGAAGTTTTCTTTTCACTCAGAAAATGTATGGTTTCTTTTTTTTAGTTCACACCGAATTGTTGGCAAAAACCCTGAACACATCTTTTAAAAATGCGTTTTAAGTTTATTCAATTTTATAAACCAGCTTTTACGTGGTGAATTGGTTTTTATAAAACTTCGAGCAAGCAAAAATAAGCAATCTTATGTTCATTAATTTCGTTCAGATTTATAGATCGAAAAAGCTTTTGCAACAACCTGCATTGACTAAGACATAAGATCGAATCTTAGTGCTTTTAGACGAATCGTGGTATCTGTAGATATTAACGCTTTTGGTATCAGGCAGGCATAGTACAACAACCAGAAAAACTTCTATACATCTTAGAGTGGTTATTTACCTGATAATTATGCTTTGCCGATAATTAAGCAAAGCCGGATAAAAAAAAAATCAGACGGAAATTATATTTGCTCGTAATAAATTATTCATAACAGTTTGAATAAATTTGGGGCCAACAATCACAATTATATTCAGAAGGAACAAGACTAAGCTAAATATTGGGACCAATATTATTAATCATTTGTTCAAAGTTTCAGTTTTATATTGAGTTTCTTCAATGCTTTCCTTTGACTTCCATGTGTGACACATAGCTAGCAACTAGTTTTTTCACTTTTTCAGCTTTCACTTCTTTATTTCGCACGCCTTCTGTGCACTTGTTCACGACTCTTCGCATTATATGCTTGTACTGATCTTTATCCACTTTATTTTTCGTGTAAAAAGGTTTAAGATACTTCTTCGCTAAGGCTGCAACTCGTTCTTGCATTTGCTGTTTCTGATCCGCCTTATTCAAGACGGGCATCGGCTGCGGCTTGGTCGCCTTTTTCATTGGACTCACAGTGGTTGAGCCACTCGACCCAGGAGGCGGCGGGAACAGTTTTTCCAGGTCTCTCAATTTATCAGTAGTCGAAGGTGTAACATCGTCATCATCATCCAACCTAGGCGGCGTGAACTCATTTACCGACACGCCTATAGGAAGCATAGCATCTTCGTGTGATTGATCAATTTTAGAAGAATCATTCAGATTCTTTAGATGAGAGTCGCCTTTGATGTTGCTCAGAAGTTCCTGGAGATTTTGCAAGGTTCCTTGCATGTTTGTGACCGATTTCAATTTAGCCTCTTGTTTTTCGTTGTTAATTTCTGACATATTTTCGGCTTCAAGCTCTTCGGCTTCTTGCTGTTCATTCGCGATAGGAGACAGCGAGGGTGTGTACGACGGAGAAGGCATGGGAGGAGGCGATTTTTCTTTATCGGGAGGCTTACTCGAAGGCGGGGTCGGGATCAAAGTTTCTGGTTGTTGCTGATGCTTGTGTTGTGTTTTGGACATTTCAGTCGTCACTGACAAAGATTTAGCCGCTAGTACTGGCGTATTTTCAGCTGGTAATATTTTTTGCACTAGTTGTTCGAATCCAAAAGCTTGGCTACTATTGTGTGAATTCTGTTCGTCTTTTAAAGGTGTTTTCGGTTCTGAACTTTTAGCATCTGTAGATTGTTGTGACTGATTTAGTACTGCACTGGGTGAAAACGAGGACTTGGCATTAGGCGTGGAAGTCATGTGTAAGGTCGATCCAGTAAGACTACTTGCACTCATGCCTGGGAATCCCATGCTAGCCATCGACGTCACAGGCGGAGCCGTGAAACCGGTATGTGTAGCTCCAGAGGAACCTGCGATTGGCATTGGCGGTGGTAGAAAAGTTGGAGGCGGTATAAATGAAGGAATAAAAGGGGGCAGCGGGAAGGGTAAGCCACTTGAACTTCCTCCTCTCGGGAGCATTTGTTGCTTCAGGAAGTCTTGGAAATTGGGTGGCATCGGTAAACCTGATAACGGAGGCGGAATCTGACCTGGCATCGGGGGTGTCATCATTGGAACCTGGGCACTCTTGGCTGTCATTACTGATGCGCTACTGGTTGATTTGTCCAGCCATTGGTCAATTGAACTCTTTTTCAAATCAGACCAACATTGCACTTTTTCGTCAACTATTTTCTTCACTTTTAGACCCGTAAAATCGTCATTAATAACAGTTGGCAAATTTCCAAGACCAAAATCAAAATTAGGAGCCAATAATTTTTTACTATCACCATCTAGTTTATCATCTCTAGTTATATTTCCCACGGTTTTCGGAGTTTTGGGGAGATTTTCCGAAAAGAAATCGGAGACGGCAGTCCACTGTGGATCTTCGTGATGCTCTTTCGAGAGCTCTTTATCTTTCTCGTCTCCTGTTATAGAATGAGGTCCAGCTGATTTATCCAGCTGCAAATCGCCTCCAGTTGTATCTAACGTTCCTTTAGAGGAAATATTCTCTAACATCAACACATTGATTGGATTTCTATAGTCGTTAGATTTCGGATTCGAAGACTCTTGAGATACTTTTGGCATGCTTTTCTTTCCACTTCTATTTGAGCCTGAACTTAAATTAGACACTTCACGCTTTCTACTACTATTTCTCGACCTTCGTGGTCGTTCCACGACAACTTTCGAGCGACGACGACTCGTTGACCTTGAGCGATGATTCAATGACCTGGACCGTCGCTTAGAACGCATTGTGACGTTTCGAGAATTACTTCTAGACCTTGATAGCTTTCTTCGTCTAGACCTAGAACGAGAAAGTCGATCTCGTTTTTTCGTCTCACGTGATTTCGATCTTTGTTGCTTTCGCTTTGGCGATCTTTCGTGACGCGATCGTTTTCTTGATGAGCTTCTAGATCGTCTTTTAGAGGACCTTTTCGATTCCGTTTTCGGTTTTTTGATTGACTTATCCTCCTTCTTTACTTTTTCTGCTGATTGACTGTCATATTTCTTCTTGCCTTTAATCTCTTGATCTGCTCGTCCGTTTTCGCTACAATCCTTGTCATCGATTATTTGTTTATCGGCTTGTAAATCTTCGATCTTCTCCGTATCTTCAGTTTTTTCGTCTAACGTTTCCGAGCTTTCGGCAACTTCAGATTTTTCCACTGGTGTTGGGCTTGTTTTTGCTTCGGCATTCGCTTGAACTTGACCTTCTTTGTTTTCTTTCAGTGGTTTTTTCTTAACTTGTTTAGGTATGAATTGCACATTTGATTTAGAAACATTTTCAATTTCAGATACTTTCTCATTTTTTGCTACATCTTTGCGTAGTTCAAAAGACTCTTGAAGTTGTGGGTCACTTTTACTCAAGAAAGTGTTGTCGAAATCAATATCTTCTTCATTATTTTTGTTTTCAGCCTTTCTGTCGTTGTCAATCTCGGTCTTGTTATATTCATTTTTTTCATCTGGAGTTTTAGCTACTTCATTTTCGGTATTCTCATTCTCCTTCAATTTTTCAGTTTTTTGGATAGAATCTTTTTCCGATTCTTTTATATCGTCACGTCTTTTTTTGGACAAGTACTCGTCATTTGCATCTTCATTTTCTTCTTTGTCCGATTTTTCTTTTCGTTTACTTCTCGTTTCGTTCTCCTGTGACGATTGCCGTTTTTCCTTATGCGATTTACTTTTCCTTTTCTTTTCACTCCTGTCAATTCTTTCTGTCTCTGGAACCACTTTCTGATCATCTTGAGAATCTTTCGATTCATTCAAACTCTCATCTCCAAGGACCTCTTTTCGATACTTCTCGACTCTTGAAGCAACTCTTTCGCATGTCAATTCTTGTTCGAACGTTTTATCTCTCTTCTTTACTTTCTCAACGTTGTAATCTGTTTTAGAAATCACTCGTTTTTCAACTTTCTGATCTAGTTTTGCTTCTTTTTCCGATTTCCTGGACACTTTCGTGGTTTCATCCTCTAAACCTTCTTCGAAACTGACTGGATTTAAAACCTCTTTATTCACTCTCGCGGACGAGGGCGATTTTTTTCTTCTTTTTTGTTTCGACTGCTTTGAGTCTTCGTTTTTAGAACGACTTCTGCTCTTTCTATCATCATTTTCTCGTTTTCGTTCCTTTTTAGAGGACTTTAAGAGGCGCTCTTCATCGCGGACAGGAGAAATTGACTTCCTCTTAGCCCGAGAAGAAGATCTGCTTCTCCTTTTGTTACTTCTATTCTTTCTACTTTTATGTCGATCTTTGCTTCTGCTGTGTTTTCTACTCCGTCTCGAACTATCTCTGGGAGTCGATCTATCTCGCTTTCGACTAACAGACCGTGATCTATTTGAAGTTTCGCGTTTGTGTTTGCTTTTAGTCCTCCGTTTATTGCTTCGGCTACGCGACCGTGTCGATTGTTTAGAACGTCGATCATCGTTTTCGTGAAGTTTTGTTTCATTATCAACATCAAAATTCTCCGTTTGATCTATTTCAGATGCTAGAGATATCGACAATATGTCTCCTTTTCCAGTTCCTGGCATGTTTAAAGGCCTGACTATGACACCATTATCACTGAAAGGCGCAACCGGAGAAATCTCCGACAAGCCGCTTTTATTATTTAAATCGTTGTTTTCAGCTCTCGGCGGGGAACCACCGTCAACAGTTACTAACCGATTAGCAGAAACGCGCGAGGTTTTAATTTTAAAGTTTATCATCTGTGGAGGTTGACCTGTGTTATATTTTGAGTCCCTCGACATGTGAACAGTTTTATCCCTAACAGGCGACGCTTCGGGTGAATTTGTCGGCTGAGTGGGGTCGTAAAACATAATAAACCTAAAATTTGAATCGAAATAAACTAGATTGCGTCCAGCGAAGAAAAAATGACACGCTGAGCTGGCTAAAAACATTACATCAAACCTAAGCCCATAGTTTTTTTTTTACAAATATGATAGTTACTGAATGAATATATATGCAGCTAGTATGCTAATATTCAATTATGTTACACTTCAATGCCAAAATGGAGACTGAAAGCTTTGGCTCTCCCAAATGAAGCCTCTGAAGGTCTACGAAGCCACAATATCATATATGTAGATTGTCGGTGGTTCAACTGAAGGTCTACGAAGCCACAATATCATATATGTAGATTGTCGGTAAGTTCAACCGATCAATTCGAACCACATGAGATAACGTCCGTCAAACAATTGCTTGAAAAAAATACTCGGTTACATATTAGAAAATCAAAACGCAACTTTGAGCAACTTTTCAATCCCTCAAAGCTTGAATCAGTTCAAGTCAACATCTAATAACGCTTCTTACCTGTTTATCACAAAGTTCAGAGTCCTTCAAAATTGTCAATTTTGGCAGCGGCACAGGTGTATAGCAATCTTCCATCTAGCGAGCAAGCAAAAAATCATGTGCAACTGAAAAGGTGTCCCAATTTGACTTTGTCAATACAGACTTTTGAGCTCTGTGAAGCATTGGTCAGCATTTTAACGTCTGAGTCACTTCTACGTTTATAAAAAAAAAGCATTAAGAACGAATCACCCCATTTAAAATTAAACATTTAAATCGCACTAACAAATATCAATAACAAGGATAGTCGGTTACTGTGCAAGTAGCACAGAACGTTCCGACCATAGTCTAATTATTGTCGTTTTTTTCCGGAGTGGTGTGATAAAAGGAGCTGAACGAAAAACTGAGTATTAGGTATATTCGACAGACAGGGTGGCCAGTCAATAAGCAGAATGGTCTAAGAGCAGAATGGGTCCAAGAGCAGAAAAGCAGAAAAATATCAGCGTTTATTAGCTAATCAGTAAATTAATTATCAGAAATGTCAACAAGACTGGTCGTATCAGGGCGAAGCCCTAAATGTTCCGACTGCCTTTTAAGGTTAATGGAGCAGCAGTAATAACATTAAAAAATTAAATGAAATAAAATAAAATAATTTTTTTTTTCTTAAATTTGAAATTTGTTATGAAAATCATCCCCCCACACGCCATATAAAGTACAAAAAGAGAGATTTCGTTCCTTGTAACAAATCAATTGTGGCAAATAAGCTTCGTTCAACCAATTTGGAACTATTTATAAGACGGATTAAATCTCCGCTTACGCGTTAATAGCGCGAAATATATCGCGCGTTAATTGTCCCATATTGGTCAAAATGGCCAAAATGGCAATCTTTAAACCCTCATAACTTTACGAAAAATGATCACAGGTGAAATATCTTTTCAAATTTAAGCTCAGGACAACAATACCTTTTGAATGATATAAAAAAACTCCGTCAAAAATGGCTAGTTAAAAAGTCGAAATTTGTCTGAAGAAAAAAAAACCCACCCCGAGCACAAATATTCCGTTACTTTCGTATCGAAAGTCGGAACATAAATACCAAAAAGAAAGAACAATTTCTGCATAATTTGAGTAATTTAATCAAGAAATTTTTTTTAAACAACGTAACAAAAAAACTGAATGAAATTAGTCTATTTATGCGCTGAATGAAATGCGCTGAAAAAACTGAATGAAATTTCTAGCGATCAGTCGGTTCATTTTAATGTCTTATTTTTAATTTCGCTTTTAATCGCCAACATGTTTGACCTCGAAACTTTCCGAAATCTGAACGACGAATTGAAATACGAGCTGTATAAAGACTTAGTCGAAAATGTTACTTATTTTAAACGAATTATCGAAAATTTAACTGTATCAACGAAAGAGGAAGAAAGAGGAAACAAATTTTTTGATCTAGAAAATTTTAAAAACACGGGCAATTCGAAAATTACAGAAAACAAATTTGAAAACGAATGGAGCAAGATTGGAACTCGGAGCAGAAATCAGATCAAACGAAGCGAAAATAACCAAGAAAGCAAGAATAACCAAGAAATCAAAATACAAGCAACCAATATTCTAGAAGAAAAATTCGACCAGCAACGAAAACATTTATTTTTACCACGAGAAGGAGAATATTCTGGCCTATTACTGGGAGACTCAATTGTTAACAGAATCAATGGGGAACAAATATCGGAAAATGTGTTGGCGAGAGGATTTGGTGGGCACAAAATTTCTGCATTGCTGGAACGCGTGAGAAACAGTAAATCGCGACATTTTAAACATGTAACTACGCTAATTGGAATAAATGACTGCCTCTCAAGTGATTTCGACGCGAAGGAAGCCGTGAGTAGCTTAGAAAAACTAATTTATCTCATAAATCATAAATTCTCCCCAGAAACAATTTCACTATGTACTGTAACTCCCTTAGGCGCTTTTAGAAAAGATTTTAATCCAAATGTACAGAAGCTAAACAAGCAAATTCTTAATTTAGTACGGAATGTAAAAGACTTGGGCGAAGTAAAATTGGATATTTTAGACATAAACAAAATTTTTAGTCAAAATACAGATGCTCTTAGCTCGGATGGTTTGCATCCTTCTGATGGGGGTGTTGAAATTTTGGTGCAAAGTTTTAGAGATTCTTTTAGGGGTTCTGATATTAATGCAAACACATGTGAGATTACAACCCACCCCAGAATGAAGCAAACCCAACAATCATCAAATTTAGATCCAAAAACGGCAGAAATGTTACAATTTTTCCAAAACGGCGCAAAATTTTTTAGGAAATACTAGTTTCGCATTTTTTCTTGGTGCAAACTTTGGCGATTATTTAATTTATTTAACCTATTATGCTGAATATTAAATTCTGGTTGTTTTGTGCAATTTTTCTAATTTCCAAGGCTCAGATGGAAACTAAAGAAAAAACTATTGTTTACTGGGGCTATCTAAGCTGCCAGCAAAAGATATTATCAACGAAATGTGGGATAAATGAGCGGAGAGCTACCACACTGACTCATCTTTTCCTTTTCGCGTTGTTACTGACCCAAAGTGGGGATGTTGAAAAAAACCCTGGTCCTATCGAAACCATTGAAACAGTCTACGGTATCTGCTCAAAAAATTGTGCAAATCTTAAATTTGTTCATTTGAATTTTCAAAGTATTATTAGAAAACGGATGCAATTGAAAAAATTTCTTGATGATATGGGCGAAAACACAATTATAGGAATTTCCGAAACGTGGCTTAAAAAAGAAGATAGTGACAATTTATGGAATTTCCAACCTACAACGCATGCGATGTTCAGATATGATAGGCAATCAGCGGTAAAAAAGAAAGGCGGTGGCGTTTTGTTATATATACCAGTCAAATTGGCTCCGAAATTGAGGCCTGATCTAAATTTATTTGATAAAGAAAAATATGAGTCAGTGTGGGTTGAGTGCAAATCTACATTTAACATTTCGAGTAAAGAAAAAATGTTAGTTAATTTGTGTTATAACCCAAGCAGATCAAACTTTATTGATTTTTTGGAACAATTAACGCTTAACATAGATAATGCTTTTTCAGTTTCTAATAAAATTACGCTTTTGGGTGATTATAACATAAATTATCTGGATAGCAAAGAAAAAGAAAATTTAGATTCTATAATTATTCCATATGGATTGAAGGTTTTTTGTCCAAACGATGAGACCAGAATTAGTTCCTCAACAAAAACTCATATCGACTACATAATCAGTGACTATGAAACAAACGGCATTGAGTTTTGTTTTGATACACCTTATAAAACCGACCATTTTGCTTCATTTATTTTGACGGATATAAAATGCGGCAAAATTTTACCGAGGATAATTACGACTTTCAATAAGAAAAATTATCAGAAAAATGAATTTTGCAATTCACTCTCCGCTCTTCCTTGGTATCTCTTATATCAATGTACAGACGCACAAAACATGTTCTCGACGATGATTTATTTAATTTCTTGTGCTCTACAGCAACATGCTCCTATCGAAAAAAAGTTTGTTCGTAATTTTAAACCAAAAAACGTGTTGAAAACGGAATGGTTCGATTCAGAATGTCAGCAATTGTTGACTAAGAAACAGAATTCACTCAGATCATATCGCAGTCAAAGCACAAGCGATAATTGGTCAAAGTACCAGTTTTTACGTAATCAAATGAGCAAATTGATTAGAAGTAAACAATTCGATCATTCAAAAAATTGTTTTTCACTTCTCAGCACTATCCAACAAAAATGGAAATATATTAACCAAGTTAGAGGTACATGTTCTGGCAACCATCGAATTACAGTTCTACGAAATTCCTTCAGTGAAATGATAACCCAAGACAAAAAAATTGCCAATCATTTAAATTATATTTTTTCAAACTTAGGCGAATTTTTCGGCGCTAAAAAGCCTCCGAATTACAACAAATCTGCCTCTGAATCTGCATCTTTTCATTTTCAACACATTACAGTGAAGCAATGCTTTGATATAGTTCGAAAAATCAATGTTGGAAAACCTCTCGGACCTTGTACCGTACCTGCTTGGGCAATCATTGACGGTCAATCAGTTATAGTTCCACATTTAACTTTTGTCATAAATACTTGCTTAGATGAGAACATTTTCCCGATCGAACTGAAAAAAGCAAACGTAACCCCTTTGTTCAAAAAAGATGACCCAATGGATGCAAAAAATTATCGGCCAATATCAATAACTTGTGCTTTTTCTAAAATTTTTGAAAAAATTTTACATGCCCAAATAACAGAACATCTTGACAAATTTCAAATAATGACACCATTTCAATTCGGATTTCGCAAAAACATTTCAACACAAGATGCTCTTGTTTATGTGACAGAAAGTATTCGAAATCAAATAGATTCAAAAAAAATCGTACATGCAGCTTTATTAGATCTGTCCAAGGCTTTTGATTCTATTTCGCATGAAGTTTTAATTGAAAAAATGCTTTCTCTCGGTTTTTCAAATGGAGCAAATGCTTTAATTGCTAGCTTCCTAAACAAACGTATTCAAAGAGTAAACGTCAATGGAATTTTTTCAGACTGGATTGAAATAAAACGAGGTGTCCCACAAGGAACGGTACTTGGTCCGTTGTTGTTCAATATTTATGTTAATGACATACAAGAGCGATTATATGAGGGTTGTACTTTAGTTCAATATGCTGACGACTGTATGGTTTTTTCCTCTTCTATAATTTCTGAGGATGCTTTGAATCGATTGCAAAAATCACTCAATAATCTAACGGAATTTTTTGCAGAGAACCAATTGAATCTGAATGCATCTAAATCGGAATTTATAACATTTTGTCAAAAAAATGATAGCAAAAATGTGGATACTGATAAACTAGTAATTAGTGGGCATTATGTAGCCAAAAAAGCAGAATGCAAATATTTAGGCATAATTCTTGATTCAAGTTTATCTTTTCATGCTCAAATCAAAACAATTCTCCAAAAAATGGCCCAAGGGATTAAAACTATTGATACAATTGGACAACAACTGCCGACATTATCATTAGTTGCCTTGCTTCATTGTCTTGTTTTATCACATTTAGATTATTCAGCAATTTTTTTACAACAAATTAATGCTACTTTGATGCTAT